ATCAGAGATTTTTAGCAGCCATAATGAAACCTCCAACCTTGTCTGTCATGATGCAGTTCTGTTGAGACCAAAAAAAGAAAGAAGGAAGGAAAAAAAGAAGGAAGGGAGGGAGGGAGGGAGGGAGGGAGGGAGGGAGGGAGGGAAGGAAGGAAAGAAGGAAAGAAAGAAAGAAAGAAAGAAAGAAAGAAAGAAAGAAAGAAAGAAAGAAAGAAAGAAAGAAAAGTCAGAATGATGGTTTGTGGGTATTAAATAAATCTGCTTCTTAGTTCATTTCAACAGAGCAACAAAATGTTTCATTTTATACTCAGATTTGGTCCTTATTAGAAGTAAGTGTTTTAGAGGCAAACTCTACTTCTCTCTCTTTTTTTTGGGGGGGGGGTCTCCTCAGTAATTTTTAGAAATCAGTCATTACCAAAACTGGCTGCATAGCAGTTCTTAGTATAACAAATGTTATTGCTGTAATTCTCAAAAGCAGGTATCATGCTGACTTGAATTCTAATTAGCCTTTAAGCAAGAAGAACACTGTAGAGCTAATGCATTCTGTGTCAAGACACATTAATCAACATTATTGGGAATGCTTTTAGCACCCAGGCAAATCAGCACATAATTTTCAAACCTTGTTGTACTATTTTTGGGGACAATGAAAATGAGATCTGCTCAGGAATAATAAATATCTCAGAAAACATGACTCAGTCTAGAGAGAGTTTTTAGACAGGTTAAGAAAATGATGTATTTTACTTCTTTAATTGATAATGTCTTATAAAAATAAAGCAAATAGTAATAAATGGAAAACCAGATATTTTTCTGTGAGCGAGAACTAATCAGTTAGGACTTTTTTGGCCATCATTCTGCCTAACAGATGGTATGTTCTGGAGGTCTATATGGAAACATCTGGCAAGCCATTTCTATATTAATGAAACAACCTCTCTATCTCTCTTTCTTTCTTCATTGGACTAATAACTCCCTAAGTATTTGTTGGTTCTCCTCACCTTTATGAAGGTGACCATTTAGAAGGTAGCGTGAGGCCCCTGCTGTTCTTAGAAAGTCAGTCATCATTTTATTATGGGATTCTAAGACTTTGGGAAATCCTTAACAATCATTAGAATTCAGAAAAGCTGTGTTCCTAATTTTTTCCTAGCTTTGCTGTGTGTTTTTTGTAATATAGATGGACAATTGTAGTGGCTACTGTGGCGTCTTTGTTTTCCCTTTTAACTTTTGTCCAGGAGACTTCACACTTAAGCTGCTATTATAATGAGATGTTTGGGGTGGTTGCTTTTTGCAGGAACAGGTAATAGGTGAAAAAAACTGACTTCAACCAAAAATATATCTTATTCAAAATTAAACCAGAAACATTTTATTCATTAAATTGTATGTTTTGTGAAATCAAACCCAATTTTGCCAAAAAAAGACCAGAAAGAAAATGTAAGAAGATTAACATTGGTATGTAGAGGTTTTTTCCCCTAAAATCTCTTTAATGTCTAGCTTAAAAGGCTACAGCCATATTCTCATCTACAGTTCCACATTGAGTCTCTCAATTTGTTGTTTGGGGTGAGGTACCTTACACATCTCAAGTAGATGATTGGACAAGGAAAGGTTATTTTAGTAGCTTATCCATATACAGGTGTGGGTATTCTTTGAAATATCCTCTAAGCTCCCTAAGTGGCTCTGTCTTAAAGGTTAGACTCCATACAGAATCTGAAGACACATCACAAGCTGTTCACACTCAGGTAAAAAGCAGACGATGTCTTTGCACACTGTGAAAGAGTCCACCCTTCAAGCCCTGATCAGCAGTGTAAGGCCAAACATGAGCAAGATGGAGAGACGGAGGGCCCTCAGAGGAAGTAGACACAAACATGCGATCTCATAGCTGGATATGCTGGGTTTTGCCTTGAATACATTGGAATATGAAGCATGTTGAGGTGTATGTACGTGACTGGTGCTTTTTTTGGAATGATGATCATGAGCAACTAATCATACTAAACACCTTTCAAACCACAGAAGATCAACACTACTAAAATTACCGAGACTGTCAAATCTGTTGCTGATTTTATCTCTTCAAATTAAATGATTTTACCCTGAAGACTCTATTAAAGGAAATTTAGTATGTTTTTTAAAGGGGGGGGGAACACCTTCAGCTAGCAGCTGAGATAACAATTCGTTATTTATTTATCAATAATACAACTGCATGCTTGACTTTTTTATAAACTAAACACTAACTCAAATAAGGAAAGTGTTTCTGCAAGTTTTGTCCTTTCTTCTTTTTATTAATACGATTTAATTAAGCTTCCATTTGATTGCCTAAAAGGATGATCTTTTTTTCTTGAAAATGTGTTAAGAGTTCGTTTACAAGTGAACATTCAGCCTCTACATTACGATTTCAGGATATCAGTTGTGACCAATAACATTAATGTTCATTCCAGAATTGCTATTGGAAGTATAGAGAAAAAACATATTCAGATAAACTATATATATAGTATCAATATCAGTAAGATACTATTACTTTATCAAAAGCAATACATTATTTACAAATAAATGTATCCCTTATAGTATTTTTGTTTATAAAATAACAAATCAAATTATTTTGCTAAAGATTGAATTACTCACAAATGATTTCTCTGAACTGAGTTCAGATTTTTATTTTGAAATAGTAAGAGGTGTTTCAAAATAGATGCCAAGGTTTTTCCCTTCCAGTAGGTGGAAGACTGTGGGGCCAAGTAGATTAGGAAATATTGAAAATAGCCATAGCATCAACCTCAACCAGTAGGTCCAGCCCTTCCCTTTCTGCTTTCTGAGTGTCCAAGTCAGAGCAAATCTGTGAGCACTGTGTCACCTGAAATGTTTGATGTGATGATATCATATATATAATGTTCGAAATTTTTCCTTGTTTGAAACATAGATACAGGCATTTTAACATACCCATGAAGCGCCTTCTCTATGCCTTTCAGCTTACCTCCAAGTACCATGACACAAGATTCAGTGATAGCTATCTTAGAGGGATATCAACCGTACTGGTGGTAATTCTTTCAGAAATAGTACAGGCATGAATAAAACAGACAAAATGGAAACAGAACCATTATGTGTTTTGCTTTAAATTTTGGTTGTGTATTTTATATTTTAAGCAGTTAGACTGTTATGTTTTCTTTTCTTTGATTAGTTAAAAAGAAAATAAACTGTATGGGTAATCAAGACAATGTGAACACTGGTTCAGGTGTTTGTTTTATTTTGATATCAAATGCGTAGTTTCTTGTCTGACACTGGGTCTCCAACTTTCTGATTCAGACACCAACTAGATGTCTGCAGTCCAGTTCTGACTATGTCCTTGTTAGTCTCAGATGCCACAGATTTTAAAACCAATCCTGCAAGATTAGCTTCATTTCAGTTGCATGTAGCAAATTCCCAGGTTAATTGGATTATCTGTGCTTTTTCTGACATGGCTATGAATTTAAAGCAGTGGTTCTCAGCTTTCCTAATGCTGTGACACTTGAATACAGTTCCTCATGTTGTGGTGATCCCCCCCCCATCATAAAATAATTTCATTGCTACTTCATAGGTATAGTTTTGCTACTGTTATGAATCATAATGTAAATATCCTGTATGCAGAGTATGTAATATGTGACCCCTGTGAAAGAGTCATTTAGACTCCCCAAGGGGTCACAATTTACACCTTGAGAACCACTAATTTGATACCTGTTTTTAGAATTGCCTAGAGTGAGTCATGTTCAGGAAATCGCTGTACTGTGCTTGCAGTTATAGTTTAGTATAAAGGCTGAAAAACAATGGCCCAGTGAGTAGGGCAATGTCTAGAAACCACTGACCACAAAAGCCTCTATCCTTGTGAATATGAATGTTCCACACTCCTGGCACGTAACTGTGTCTCCTGACTTGGAAAGTCTACACTGGCCCCATCAGTAAGGGATTCCATTGCATGATTGATGAAATCACTACCCTCTAGTGATTGAATCCAATCTCTAGCCATTCTCCCCACCTCTCCATAGGTTAAGAAATGGAATGGAAAATTCCATTCTTCTAGCAATCAAATTGGTTCCTTGCATCTTGACAGTATCTAAGAGATTCCCTTAGACTTTGCTCATTTGTATCAATCCAGATGTAGTTAGAGGAGACAAATTTCAAGCAAATTTCAAGATGCCCTTTCCCATTCCTGTAACCCAGAGGGATGTAAGGCTTAGAAGATCTATGCCAAGACCTGGGTACCATTTATTATGCCACAGATGAATATCCTCCAGGTATTGCTGCCTACCACCTTATCCTAAAAAGCAGTTGCTGAAACCAGTCGCCTTATAGTCTCTAAAACAAGAATTGAAGCCAAGCATTGCAGGCGCCCCTGGCTCTGAGTTCCTGAAGTAATCAGGAATCCAGGGCTGTGTTCTCTATAGAAGACTCTAAAGGTGAAGGAGCATCAACTACCAAGCTTCCTAACAGGGCTCCTGGCAGATCTTGGTCCTCACATTGTGGCAGCTTGATAGGGCTACTCAAAGCAGGGCAGTTTGCTCCCTTCAGAGAACTGATCCAAGCAGGGAAACTGCAGGAAAGGTCCACACCAAATAGAAGCCACTCTTCACAGTTTACGCTCAGACGTGATGTCTTATCTCTTGCAGTGTATTTTAGTCACTAAATTTACACAGTGAGTCTACTCTTGACTCGAAGGGAAGAGGTTTCACAAGGCTATGAACACTGGAACAGGGTCTTATAGGCCCTTCTATACCCACCCAAACACAATCAGTCTTAATGTGGTTAAGTGGCAAGAAACACCAGGCAACAGATCAGAGAGGAAATCATCATAAAGATGTGTATCCAGTGGCCATGTCACTTTCTAAAGCATCTCTGGAGCTTTGCACAGAGTTGTCATGGATGATCATCTTACAGAAAGTTGTTTAATCTCAGCCAGAACAGTTGTATGCGATCAAGGAAGTAGAATCTTAGTAGGAAGAACTGAGTATACCGCCAGATGAATAATGTCTCTGCGTGCCGTCTTTTTAAAGGGAGAACCAGGTTTCATTGGTCCTCAAGGAGAACCGGGCTTACCAGGGTTACCAGGAACAAAAGTAAGTAGACCTTTCTTCCCCCTTGCCTTCCTGTGAAATTTGTGTCAAGAAAGAAAAGTGGGATGACCAGATATTTTAATCCCATCCCCGTGGGTGTCACAGAGATTTCTAAATACTCCATTCCAAAAAGATCTACCCTGAATGGTGTTTGCAGATGTATTCTATAATGAAAACCATCTCTTAGAGTTCTATTTGGGCAGCCATGAAAAGGACTCTGAAAGCAAAAGCTATACGCTGCCACACGAAAAGAATACAGTGTACAGACAGAGCCAGGCCCAGAGTTCTGCCTTTATCCACCCAGTAAGACATAAAAAGATTGGACTCTGATGATGGAGTTGTGCTCGTGACAGACTCATACATCAAAGGGGCTAAGCAGCATCAATTTATAGTCATTTATTTTTAAACCATTACAGACTTGGCCTCAGTGAGTTCTGCATTCACCAGAACTAGGCCAGGGGTGATTTCCAGTAGTTAGAGAACTATGTCATGGTCTGCTCAGACAGACTAGTCCTTATTTCTACTTTGGTCCATGAAAATAACTAATCCTACCAAGTAGAAACCATTCACTGCCTAAGGGGACTGGAACTTAGTAGGATTATGCAAAAAATGGTTGTTTTCCAAAGAAATCCCACTTTCATATAATGAGCTGTCAATCCCATTCATTAACAAAGTATGGAGAAATTCTGTTTTAGCCTGAACAGATGCACACAAGATAGAACTTTTTGAGAAAGAAAGACAGAGCAGGAGAAGAAATAAATTGTCTGTTAGTATGCGAACTGTGAGTTAGTAGAGCTTGGATCCTTAAAGCTGGGAGAGGAAAGACGTTATCTCTGGGGAGTACATTCACCACCTCAGAGGGACTGGGAGTCTCAGCAGGGGAAGCTGATGGAAACTGCATCTATCGAAGATTTTTATTATACAAAGGAAGGTAAAAGAAACCCAGCTGGGTAGAGATACTCATCCCTAAATACCTTTTTTTATAGTTAACTGATGAACTACTCCGCAGTTTCAGAGAGACAGATCCAGACATAGAGCTGTGAAAATGTCAGTAACTGCTGTTATGGAGGAGCTCAGCATGTTTCTGAGGAACACACACTTTGCTCTGAACTTCCAGGAGAGGGAAGGGATGTAACCTAGCTGTGGTGTGTCTACAAGCAAGTTTATGTATAGAACGTTGGTTTCAGCAACATTCTGAACTTAATTGTTAGCTGAATTGCCTATCTCAGCAAGAGTTGTTGTGTCCTAAGGGGAAATTTCCAATTTGAAAATCAAGTTTGACCCAACAATGGTCTTTTTTGTAGATGATGGTCTAGATTTTTTACTTCTAACGACAGATCTGAAAAATAAACAAAGATGGCGTGTCTAACTTGCAGCACAGTGAAGACAGATCCTAAGGAAGACTAATGACATCTAATATCTGTAGTAGGGATGGCGTGTCCCCAGGGCCTATGTCTGTGCCTCTGTCTGACCTACATCTGCCTAGAAAAAGTGAATTTCAGTCACAGGGTATCAGAGTACAAAGCATGCAACCTCACCACCGTGCTACACATTTTTCTGGAATTACTTAAAATTTGCTACAGAATGTGAATAGCTATCCATTCTATAGTGAATAATAACAACAGAACATATTGATTCCCTTTAAAAGTCTTTACATTCATTCACATAGCTACCAAACTATTTCCTTGTTTATAAAATGGGGATTGTAGGGCAGAACTGTATTATTACTCAGGATGCTCTAGAGACACAGAACCAACATCAGTGAGTGAATGAGTGCGTGGGTCAGTGGTTAGATAAGTGAACATGTATTTACATACATGTATGCGTGCATCTAAAAATATAGATGTGGCTACAGAAGGAGTTTACTAGAGGAATTGGCCCATGTGATTATGGAGGCAAAGATGTGCCATATAAGCCAGCTATCCACAAGTTAGAAGGATGCTAGTAGCCTGTCTCTTGTGTGGGTCTGAAGGTTTCAGAATCATGGAAGCTGGTACTGAAACTCTTGGGCAGCAGTTAAAGGTCTGAGATTCAGTGCCTGTTACTAATCTTGCCATCAAGGCGGAATACTGGAGTTGAGGTGTCACAGCAGGAAAAGATGCTCCAGACACAGAGAAAGGCAGTGTGTCCTTCCTCTGCCTTTTGTTCTATCTATCCGAAGCCAAGCAACAATAATGTATTTATTTTTGCTTTTATAAACTTTTTAAAATTATAATTTATTCAATTTGTATCTGGCTGTGCCCCACCCCTCATCTCCTCCCAATCCCACCCTCCCTTCCTCTTCTCCCCCTGTGCCCCTCCCCTAGTCCACTGATATGGTTTTGGTGGTATGGCAGTGGTAAGCATAGCTGCCTTCCAGTTGTGTATTTTAAGGATAAGCCTTCCCACTCAGTCCACTGACCAGTGTGCAGTCTCTCCTGGAAACACCGTCAGAGAAACAGTAAGATTGCTTCGGCATTTCCATAAATGCCCCGTCACTCAGTCAAGATGATGCCAAAAACTAACAATGTCAGATTAGTTTGTGTATGAAATGGGATTATGCGTATGCAGAAATTAACATGGTGCCACACGCTATGAATAAGCGTTTGGTTACTTGGTTTTATTGAACTCCTATATCCCTCTCCAGGGGACAGCCATGGGGAGGCTGCTATTTACCTGTTTTGCAATTTGTGACAGGGTGAACGTGGGGAGGCAGGCCCTCCTGGAAGAGGCGAACGGGGGGATCCCGGAGCCCCAGGACCAAAGGTCAGTTATTCTTCTATTGGGAGAGAACATTCTTTGGTTTGGGAACGCATGCCTCCTTCTGTAGAGCATGCGACTAACTCTTCAAGAGCTACTAAAGCAACCCACATCACAAACACCTCATTGAAATGCACACTGGCGGTTAGTGATTTTTGCAGTTCAACTTTTCTTGTTTACTCTGTGCAGCTCAGTGAAGAAATTTAATAACATCTCTGAAAGGAAAGGGAGAGGTGTTGTCGTGTTACACATTATGGCTCAATGTGCGTTACAGCCGGCTGAGAAAAGCCTCATTGCCCAGTGCTGTTTGTTTCCATGGTAACTTGATGGCCTTTAAGACCCTGAAAATAATAGAGCTAAGGATTTATTTTCCTGTGGAATCTTTATTTACCTAAACATTATGCAAACTAGTGTGGTCACACTCTATTCTAATAACCAGCTCCTCTTAAAGACAGGGGATGATGTAGTCTCTGATGAAAAAGAAATCTGTGCATTTCTCTGGCGAGACTCCTAAGAGCTACTCAACAGAGCTTCCCCCCCGCCCCCCGGCCAATGATGGAAGACTATCTTCAAAGTCACAGTGGATGGAGGCTGACAGAGACCAGGGAGCGAGCTCCTGCTGCAGCGATATGCATGCTGTGTGTCTTATAAAAACCGCCTTTACCTAGCACTGTCCGGCAGTCAAGATAAAGTGTGTCCGTGATTCCCCCTTATTCTGATCCACTGTTCTTATCTTCCTGTCATTCTCTTTCTCGCCTTCCTGCTCTCTTACAATAGGGGAAACAAGGTGAATCAGGAGCTAGAGGCCCAAAGGGGTCAAAGGTCAGTAACCAATAACCACTTTGTTGTGACTTCAGGATCTGTGTCTTTTGCTTTTCCACAAAGAATCCTGTTGTAGACATAACCTTTTCCTTCGGCAGCTGACACTCAGTTTGTCAGCTTGCCTTGGTTCCTTGTTTATGCTTCAGACTGTTGGGTTTTTTTTTAACATTATGTGGTGGTAAAGTAGCAGCGTGTGCCTGTGTGTGCCTGTGTATGTGTGTGTGTGTGCGTGCGTGCGCTTACGCCATGCTGTGTGCCACAGCACACATGTGGAAGTCAGAGGACAATCTATGGGAGTCAGTTCTCTCCCTCCACCATGTGGGATCCAGGGATGGAATTCAGGTTGTCAGGCTTGGTGGCAAGTGCCTTTACCTGCTGAGCCCCCTTCAGACTATTCTTTAAGAGAGGATGTATTTCCTGCTTCTTGAGAGTAGCTTATTTGGGGAAAGGGATGCTTTGGGTATTGTATGCTCTTAATTTTTATTTCCTGTCTTGGTGACAAATGTTCACGTTATGCTTCGGTTTGTTACCTAACTCCATTCAGAGAGTTAAAATGTCACCCTAGAACTAGGAACATGGCTCGTAAGGAAAACTGCTTACTATACAGGTAAAGCTCTGGGCTTGAATCCCCAGAGCCCACAAAACAACTCAAGCATCTGGTAATCCCTGTATTCCTACAAGAAGATAGGAGGAAAGACAAGGACTCCCCCGAAGCTAACCTACCTTACAGTGGAAAAATGCCAAGGAGACCCTGTTTCAAATTAGGTGAAGATAGGTACCAGCACCCAAAGTTGTGCTCTGACCTTCATACATTCTCTGTGACACAACGCAGGTACATGCATATGGATTAAATAGTAATAAAAATGAAAAGTCACCACCACTAACAGTTGTTCCTTTGTAGTGATGCTTATAGCATCTGAAATATAGCATGTATTCTGTCACCTTAAAAGCTGTTAGCAAATAACATGGAAAAATACAAAAATGGGACTAGAGATTTGAAGCTGTTAATTCCCTATTCGTGGTGAAGTTAATCATTATGGCCTGTGCTGCTAGCAAAACTGCTCATTCTCCTTATCTTCATTGGTCCTTATTCATTTTATCATGAACTCATAGGAACACAGAAAGATGCCTTGAATTTCATATAGAAAAGGGCTCTAATTTTAAGTTGTTTTAAAGAACCTTTAAATACACACAGATTTAAATATTTTATACTTGTCTCTTTAGGCTTCTGATCCTTTGGAGAGTTTAGAGTGTTCTCAGTTTCCTTGTAGGTGGGGTTATGACACTATAAATAAGATGAGGTCTTATTGCTTTGAAGAAGAAAAGACGAGAAGGCTGAAAGGGGGAGGACAGAGAGGAGGAGGAAAAGGGGAAAGAGGACATGAAGGAAGCCTGGCCAAGTCAGTCTAGCTGGCTGCTGTCAGCTTCACCTCTGAGTTTTAAAACAGCTACAGGTAGATCTCTGTCATCAGAGGAAGGTCTAGCCTCTGACCTTACACCCCCATTCTCCCTAGAATGAGCTCCCTATTCCTATTCCTTCCCGCGCCAGTTACTTCTCCTTTTCTTCTCTGAGGACAGACATGACTGTCACTTGGCCCTTTTCCCTTTACTCAAATCTCTTCAGAGGAAAGCATCCCTGCTCAGTGTGAAGATAGATCTGACTTCGGGAACCATAGAAATCACTTGCTTTGGTTTTGCAAATCCCACCAGAGAGTACATAGCCTGTCTGATTTCTCCCGGAAACACTGTTTTCTGAGAAGGATGTTTGACTGCCCATCAATGGCATCTTTAGGTGGTTTTGGTGATGGTAGTGGTTGCCTCTTGTGTCTGCAGATCGTGTTTCAAGGGCTGTTGTGTGGAACAAATGACTCTTTCGATATGAGAGATTTCTACATCAGTGGCCTTGTTGCTGATTCATCATTTTCTTTTTTATATCCAAAGGGTGACCGTGGAGACAAAGGAGACACTGGAGCTTTGGGACCACGGGTGAGTATTCAGCTTGTCTAAACTCAGACTTGAGGTCATGTTGCTGTGACTTCGTGAGAAGCACCCACACGGACAGTGCACCATAAAAACATTAGTGTAGACAGTAACTATTCCCAGTACTACCCTTCTCCTTGCTCTTTATTTTTTATCCAAGAGCGGGTAGTATAGAGATTCTTACCATACAATAGACTTTATTCTGGAAAAAAAAAATAGAAAGCCCATAGCTACCCAACTAATGAGACTTCCGTTTTTAGTTAAAGCAATAGCACACATAGTTATACTGTTTAGAAAAGTCAGGGAACTAGGATATGGATCATGGAAATTCTACAGCAGATATGGTGGGCAGGATAAAAGTCTAGACCTGTAGAGAGATGTGTGTGTGTTCTAGTAGTCTTGAATGAGGGGTGTTTGTGGGTGTATAATATCTTTTGGAGTTTTTTGTTTGTTTCCCATTTCCTCCAGTTTGCAGTAAATTGGGACATAGGGGATAATGTTCTTATTGGGGAAGCATTTCCTACAGAACACTGTCCATCATTGCTCTCTCCTCTTAGGGAATGAGGAAGCAATTATGACATATGGATGAGTAGAGAGAGGTTAGGGGTTGCCTTAATTAATACAAAGAAAGCCAATAATACTTTGCAAGATGCAAAGATTAACTTGTGTCTTTGGAGTCACTTTCCAACCTACCATAGACAGGAAGTTAGAAATGGCCCATCTCTTTTACAACGTGGACAAAATTTAAATGTAACTATTATTCTGAAATGCACTTTATCTTGGTAAGAAAATAACAATCAGTGGGTACCCAAGCTATCTCACTTTTGACACCATCTTGAAGACTAGTCTAACACCAATGACTTTACCTTGGTTTGTTTTCGGTCACAGGGTCCACCTGGGCAAAAGGGGGATCCCGGGGCCACTGAGATCATAGACTACAATGGCAACCTCCACGAGGCCTTACAGGCAAGTGACCTTCCTCTGCCCTAAGATATATGAAAAAAAAATGGCATATAGAGAAAATTGTATTGGTTTCCTGTTGGTGTGCTAAAACAACAGGACCAAGAGCAGCTTATGGAACAGAGTATATTTTAGCTTATGGTTGCAGAAGGCTAGAGTCTATAATGGCTTTGGGATCAGAGAGCAAACTGGAAGGGGAGTGAGGCTATGAATTCTCAAAGCCTGCCACAGTGTGGTACTTCCTCCAGCAAGGCTGTATCACCTCTGCAAACAGCACCACCAACTGGGGACTAAGTGTTTAAATACATGAGCCCATGGGGGACATTGTCATTCAAACCACCACCGTGGTCCACGTGTCTCCTAAGTGAGTTCCCCCTACACCACATGCTTGAAGTCCATCTATTCGCCTTTCCACTGAGACTGCCTTGTAATCTTTAATTTGAAGCATTTTAAATTCCTGCTCTTTGTAGACCTTATATTTTTAAATATTCCTTAACCTTATACAGCATCAACTCTGTGTTAGTTTAGGCAAAATTTTGCTTCCTTGTTCCAAGGGAGAATTTTACAAAGCTGAGCGGGAACAGAAATAAAATGTTTGAATTCCAATTTTAGCTATCTTGCTTTAGCAGAGATGTGACCTCACCAGTTCTTTTACTTCTGTGAGCCTCTGTTTCTCCATATTTGAAACAAAGATACTAGCAGTGAATACCTCATTGGGCTATTGAGAGCAAATTGCTAATTATGTGTCACACGCTTTGAGCAGCCCTTGGCACACTGTGGCCCTCTGTATGTTTTTATGGCTACTCTTCAATTTGTTTCTTTTTATTCAGTGAAAAATCCCAGCTTGCTCTACCATCCTTGCTTCTCATTCATCCTTTTCATGTTTATACATGTGCATGATAGTTTCTGACGTCACCTGATAGTGACCTCTAGGTAAAGTCCATAATAGTTGTTTCCCTTGACTTTCCTGTGACATTTATACTAAATCACCTTCCTTTCAAAAATCTTTGTGCTTTATCTGGCCTTCTGCTTTAGTTTGCTTCATTCTTTTCCTCTAGAGGAGCTGTTCTGTTTTGGAATTTCACACTTTTTATCCATTCTAACTTTCACTAGGCTGAAGTCTTTCCTTAGGTTACTCCCTCTGTGTCATGACAGGCTATTTCCTGTCAACTCTATGAGTTCTGGGGTCTAGTCTATGTACAGTTCCAGCTGTTTGGAAGAGCTCTCCCACGGCCATGTTTTCCTCACTGACTTCCACAACCCATGTAGTTCCCATCTACTCAATGACTCGCTCTGTCAACCAGTTACTAGAGATGAGTGACGCTGTGTCCCTTCCTCTCCCAGCACTACTCCTTCACTATTCCCAAATACCGACAGCCTCTTTATTTCATATCTAACACTGTACCAATTCTGTGACCAATTCTGCCTCCCTGGTGCCTCCTTGCCCCTCTAATTTACCTGTTTATGCCTCCAAGGCTGCTTTTTCATAAGCTGCCATTACTTTGATTGCTCTGTTTGCTCAATCTCTTCAGGAGCCTTTATTGCCTCTCGATCAAGACCACACTCCTCCACTGGCCATCATTTAAGGTTCTATGACGCTGTCTTCTCTTCCAGGATATTTTTAATTTTCCATGACTTGGTCATTTTAATTGTATCTTTACAAATCTCTTTTTCCTGGATTCATGCCATTATTCACTGCTGCAACCAGCTGAGCCATTCCTCTAAGTCCACACATTAGAAGTCACTGTCCAATGTTGTGACATGATTACTCTCTAATCACATCATTGATTTGAGTTCTTCCCTTACCATATTATAAGTTTCTCGGTGACAGAAAATATGTTTATGTTTATCTTGCCTGAGCTTGTAAATGTGCAAAAAAACATGTAGTGAATGGATGAATGATTATACTTTTTATGTACAAGCCATTTCTTAGCTTGTTCTTAAAAACAAATGAGATACTTTTACTAAGTCCCTCTATTTTATGCCTATTTTAATGTTTCTATCCTCATGATTTCACCAGTGTGGTCTAATTTTCATAGACTTTTTATGTGGACTTCACAACTATTATCAGCCCTTTTTATTTCTATGTTTCTTATGTGGACAGCTTGTTTTAGCATTCCTCATTAAAAGTGGCTTAAACATAAACAGTAACCTTAGGGTTATTGTCAAAGTCTTGAGCCAATTTTCTGAATGTTTCCCTTACCCCCTACAAGCTGATAATTATATATGGAGAGATAAAGACAAAGAATGGGCAGGATTTGTTTTTTTGTTGTTTGTTTTTGTTTTTGGATCTACAATGTTTTCAAAATTCTTGGTAAAATAGAGATAGCTCTTAAACTTTATTAGCAATGCTATACAGTTCCCTTAAACTACTTCCAACTGCCCTATAGGACTCACCTTCACCTGTAAGAGGTATTTCAGTTACTTTCTGTGCTGTGTAGACTACACTGACCAAATAAATAAATAAATAAATAAATAAATAAATAAATAAATAAATAAAATTAATAAAAACAAACCAAAAAAACCCTCAGAGAGGAACTTTTAGCTTATAGTGCCATTGGGTAGAACAGGCAAGTCAAAAGACGTTGAAGGTATGGAAGCAAGAGCAGGAAGGTAACTCTTCACATGTGTCCACACACAGAAAACAGAGAGAAAGAGAAAGAGAGAGGGGCTTTGGGGGAAGTGGGATGAGGCTATGTATCCTCAAAGCCCACCTCCACTGATGTACTTCCTTCAGGAAGGCTCTGCCTTCTAAAGCTTCTATAATCTTCCCAGGCAGTACCCCCAACTGGGGACCAAGCATTGAGCTACATGAGCCCGTGGGGGATGTTTTGCACCGAAACCATCACAAGAGCTTCCACTTCTCCTCTTCCAAAACATGCTCCAATATTACTGGCATTTTCTGCAAAGTACTGGAGTGTCTTTCAAGCTTTGTTTGCATGAACAGGCATATGGGCTACGCTTACACTGAAGCGGACATTTCTGTTTCATTCTTCCCTGTACCACTCAGGAGCTGGGTCATTTTAGGGAAATCACTGTGTCTATGCTTCACTGACCTTGTCTGCAAAATGGAGTGGATGTGTTTGTAAGAACTTATAAAATAGAATATTATGCTTAGGGTAGTTTTTAGAAGTGCCTGAACACTTTTTACTGAAGTTCCTAAAAGCACTGTACATTTTGGAAAATAAATCTGACAGCTGTTCCTTAAAATGAAAGGATACACATTCCCATCTCAAGTTTTGTATGATTGTAAACAGCAACCAGTCTATATCCATCATAGTCAATGATTTTATACTGTCTTCAAATCAAATGATATATTATTGTTGAGGCAACCATATGCTGTAATTATAAAGAGCTTAGAGAAAAAATTTAAACTAACACTGTCTATACTGTAATTCAAGATTATCTTCATGTACTTAAAATACAGTTACATCATTTCCCCTTTCTTCTCTTCCCTCTAACTCCTGCTCCGCCCTATACATCCTCCCAGACTCACAACCTCCTCTTCTTTTTAACCATTCTTGTTACATATAAAGGAATGAACATATAAACACAGCCTGCTGATCCCTTGGTGTTAGCTAACCGTTGAAGGAGCTTCTTCCTGGGGAATGCTAATTTTCCATCTCTCAGAAGTAGTTTATTGCTTGCTTCATCTACAGCCGGAAGGCCCTGGGAGGCGCCCACCTTCTACATTGGGATGTCCATTGTTGGAATCGTTCAGGTCTTGTTTAGGTGTTGATATTTTACAGGTATAGCTTCCCTGTCAATAGCTAAAAGGGAGTCTCCATAACCTGGCTCTTAGAATCTTTCTGTCCCTTTGTCCTAGATGTTTGCTGAGCCTTAAAGTACAAGAGCTGTGCTGTATGTGTACCAATTGGGGCTGTGCCCCCACCATGGTCCCTTGATCTCTGCCATTTGATGAGTTGTGGCTTCCTGTAATGGTCTTCTGCTTCAGTAAAATGGTGCTTAGGCACTCATCAGTATAAAAAGTGAAGAGATAACCTATAACACGAGCAGGATTTTTATGCAAACATCTCAGAATGACTCATAAAGCACCTGATTGACAGCTATCACCAGACTATGTCTCACTGGAATATCATGTCTCTCTCTATCACTTCCAAAGATTCTAGTTTTCAGATCGTTACTATAGTTCAAGAGGGAGTTGGGCTAGGTGTATGTAGCTTACACTTGAAGAGCCAACATCTTAGGGCCACTCTGATTGCACGTGGCTACTTCCAGGTTGAGAACATGATGGTATGTCTGTGAACGTAGCTGAATTTTTGTCACCGCTATTCTCTGAACCACAGTGGAACCTTCACAGTTCTGAGGTCTCCATAGCAGTTATTTATACCTCATTTCAACTGCTTCTGTTAGTTTGTTTACCACTAATGATATTCTTTCATTATGCAGCTCATTTTTTTAATGTTGTTAATGTTAATATTTTTAGGAAAAGGGACAAACCAGACTTGTGTCTATTGATGTAGGGATGTGAGTTTATATGTGACCTCGTTAAAAAATCTGAGGAAATCCAAATTGTAAAACTGCTCGCTTTCATAAAATTTTATATTTCTGCTTTCTAGTTGAAAAAATATATATGGTCCATGATCAAAGGACAATGGTGTAAAAATTCTTTTCACTCTATAATTTCCTTGTTTTAGTAAATGACTCGTTTATATCCTAGGAGCAAAGTAGATTTCTCATAGCCATAAATCCTATTTTTATGTCTAGGTAAACCTCTTTAAAATACTGTAAATGTTGCCTTGTATTGTACCAATTTGATGACATAAAATTCTACATAAATATTAAAACTTGCTCTTGGTTTATTGGCATTTTGCCTTTGTCTCAGAAATATCAAACTTTTTTACTGCATGTCTGAAGCTGTGATCATAGTGACTACTTTTATCATGAAATGCAAGCTTTAATCATCAAACACATGTATATTTATAGTGACATAGATGATGTTAATGTTCATTTTTTACAACAGCAACAATGGCTTGAGTCAGAGATGGGAAGGAAGTGATGGAGCACAGAGAGGTGATATTAAAATGGCTCCCTCAGGGTTAGTTAGACAGTGCCTCTCTGTACCAAAAGTCCGGACTGGGAAATGACTCTTTCTATTGTTTCAACAAACCATGCAGGGTTGTAGCACAAGATGTAAACTATACACTACTAACTGCACAAACATAACCACAGAATAGGAATGACATTTTAGAAGTCCATGCTTTGGAACAATATGGTTTGTTAAAATATTTAGCACGTCAACAAACTAGACAGGTTCACTGTCAGTTTCTCTGATTGTAGCACATGAGGGGTCAATTATAATGCAAAAAAAAAAAAAAAAAAGCCTACAGAGTAAGAGAAGAAAATATTTCACTTTTCCCTAACCAAAGTCCTATCTAGAATGGAGCTTTTACCAATAGCAAATTTCACAACAAACCTAAGTAGCATACTTAACTACATAATTTTTAATTATCTGAATTTTAAAATTGGGCAGATGAAGAATTTTATACTTTGTCTTCTTATAATTTTTAAAATAAAATTCTAAAACCATTTTCAAAGCCTTTACAGATGTACTGTATTGAAGATAGGCTAGATTGTTCTCTGAGGCTTCTTGTTTCTTACAAGACATTTGACTTGTCAAAATATATTTTAGAAGTGGAGTTTGCTTTTTGTTTTGTTTGCCACTTTATTTTGATGCACAAAATAGTTAACTCTTGTCTTTGTTGATCCATTTTCCCAACAGAGGATTACCACCTTAACTGTCACGGTAACTCCTTTTGCATGATCTCTGTGGTTTGTGACTTCGAATTTAGTGTGGATGCATGCAGGTCAAATAATACTAATGCAGCAATTGCTTTTATCTGGTGTTCACTTTTTTGTGTTTATGTAATTAACCTTTGACCTAGTTAAATTACTTTTCTGTGTGAAGGTCCAGAAAAAAAGTATTAAAAAAAACAAACAAACAACCTTTAGCCTCTGTTAATAAGATAGCTTTATCATTTTGTAGCTTAAACATCAAAGCCTTGGCAGAGCATGGTGATGCATGCCTTTATTCCCAATACTCTCAAGGCAGAGACAGGTGGATTTCTGAGTTCAAGACCAGCCTGGTCTACATAGTAAGTTCTAGGACAGCCAGGACTACACAGAGAGACCATCTTAAGAAAAGAGAGAGAGAGAGAGAGAGAGAGAGAGAGAGAGAGAGAAAGGAAAGAAAGAAAGGAAGAAAGAAAGAAAGAAAGAAAGAAAGAAAGAAAGAAAGAAAGGAAAGAAGGAAGGAAGGAAGGAAGGAAAGAAAGAAAGAAAGAAAGAAAGAAAGAAAGAAAGAAAGAAAGAAAGAAAGAAAGAAAGAAAGGCCTTTAAGCTAGAGGGCTAAGGAGAGAGGGTACTTAGAAACATGGCTGACATCAGTCAGATAATTCATCACCAGAAGGTATGTGCAGAACATGGGGAAATAATTGTTACCTGTCTTATCAAATCAAAGTTCCATCTGTAGCATGGTGACCTAAAGAGTGTTTTGATAAGTAAGAACCCAGGTGGGCACTTTCTGTCATTCTGTAACTGATGAAATGTTGCCCCACTGAAAATCAATATTTCGGAATATCTAATTAAGGTAGAAATAATGGAGCTATGTGTTGTGCTTGTTATTTTTAAAGCCTGAAACTGTGACATGTGTACTTGCTACATTTTACAATCATGTCTTGTCTTGATTCAGGGACCCCCTGGACCTCCTGGACCTCAAGGACTACAAGGGCCAAAGGTTATCCTTGCTTACTTGTTTCCTTTTACCACATACAGTGCAAAGATGCTGTGTTAAGAATGTATGTCTTTATAAAATATGTCTTATAAAATACTGGAGAAGCAAAGTCTGAAATGCTGTTTCAGAGGGCAAGGAAACTAACTGTATTGAAGTCTCAGCTAAAGAGAGAGGGAAAACTACAAAGGAAGAAAGAAAAATGAGGAAAGAGAAGAGAGAAATGGAGGGACACAAATTTAGGAAAAGGGATACTAAACAGAAAAGTACAATTTTCACAGATAATATACAAGTACAGAAACGCTAAACATGGCCTATGGGAAAAGGTAGATATTCAAGAGAAAGGGGCCGAAGGGAATTTACTCTTATCACTAAGAAAGACCCTGTCTTCCAATTTTTCTTTTTGCAAGAGAGGGACAAGGAGAGCCTTCCCATGGTGTATTCATGTGACTGACAGGTTTAGGAGCCATTTTTTAGACATGTTTTATACTCCATCTCTATATGACATGTATTCAGACTTTCTGCCATAGATTTTATCAATAAAGCATACTACCCACGAACAGCACAATCTGATATTTCCTTGATTATGCATAAGCTTTATTGGTGGTGCTTACCCCTCCAAACTTAAAGCTTCATCATTCAACCATGTTTGATCAATTAACACACGTCCAGGGAGTCTGGCTTTTCAGAACTGAGCTACATGTGTTGAAATATGACTTTCGTCATTGGATTCTTGTAGGAGATTCAAGTGGTTTCAAAATTCATCCATTATATATGCTTCTTAAGTTGGTTTATTTGCTGTGCCTATTATACATACACACACATTCTGGCACACATCAGCTTTTGTACCTTCTCTGGATACTTGAAAATAAATGTCTAGTGTATAGAGATACTTACTTATTTCTCTATTAAAAGAATATTAAATAAAGTACTCCTGAGGTTCTTGTCTGTGTAAGATGTACAGATCTATCTATCTGAGCATAGATCCTAATTTCCAAGATATTTTTTTTGTGTGACATAAACATGTTCCATGTGTGACTTTAATGTGTAACATAGAACTTCTTAACTAGTCATAGTTAAGAAGTTATTATTTTCTGACATAGTCTTCTCCCTGAAAGCAAATATGTAACACTCACACAATACATAGCACCTCTCTCTGACAAGCAAGTCTGCCTGGATCGCTGTCCCTAACAGTTTGATGAGCTGATCTAGACTCCCGGGAAGGAATTCAGAGGAAGCTCTTTCCTTTCGCGTAGTGTCAATCCAGATAAAATTTCTCGCTTTGTCTACTTTCACAACTAAATCTCAAGAACCAGAACTTTCTCCAAAACTAAATACGTACTTCATTTCCCACCAAGCTCTAAGGCTTCTATGATTTCTCCGCAGCTCTGAGGCCTAGAGAATGCATCCATCATGCCTTGGGAGGAGATGAGGGAGGGGCTACAGCTGGTATGCAAGCCGGTATTACAATATATAAATTGTAATAAATATATAAATAAGAAACAAAAAGAACTACCCAGCTAAAAAGAATGTCTCACTAAACCCTCCATCTCTTCTTTTATAATCACATGTTAGTTACAAGCCTTCACCCTCTGAGACAGGTGTGAATCTGCAAAGATACCATGTTTTACTATGAACTTAGAACCCAGGGTAGGAGACAGGCAAATAAAGGCATCACTATTAGAGTAAGTCCTTGATTAAGATCATGTGAGGGCTAGGGTGTGATGGCTCAGTGGTTAGGAGCATTGGCTGCTCTTCCAGAGAACCCAGGTTCAATTCCCAATGCCTGTATGGTGGCTTACAACCATCTATAACTCTAGCCTCAGAGAATCTGACATACATTTTGGCTTCTGAGGGCAACAGGCACACACATGACATAAAGACATACATGCAGGCAAAACACCCATATAAAAGTAAAAATAAGTCTTTCTTAAAAAAGAGTGCATGGGGCTGCCTCTCTAATTCTGAGATTCCAAGATGGGATTGAGTTGAAATTGAAAGACAGGGAGATGGTAGCCATATAGAAATCTGCACATGTGGTAACAGAGAGGCGTCAAATCCCATTTCTGGACTCCCCATCTCTGACCAATTCACTTTGCTTTTCTCTTTCCAGTGTCAAATAAGAAGTATTTAAATTTTTACACATCAAAAAACTCTTACAAACCACATTTGAGTAATGGGGCGGGGGGGGGGGGGGATACATGAATCTTGTTCTTTTCGCCTCTCTGGTCCACATTTGAAAAGGTAGCAGCTGAGCAAAGCTATCATGGTCGGACTCAAGTGTTGACAGGTATCCAGGGTCAGAGGGAAGCTGGGGCTCAGCCGGGTGCATCCAACCTCAGCAGGCTTGTTTGTGGCAAAATAAACTTTGCTACTGCCACAAAGAAACGGAAATCCGAAATGAGGAAAGGCCTTTTTTATTTCATTCATTTGAAACCACAAGATCCTGCCTTCCTTAAACACTGGGAAAGCTCAGGTTTCATGCTGTGGCCTGCAGCTCTTAGAGTTTTTTTTTTTTACCAGGAAAGGGAATTCTAGCCAATGGAATATTGTAGTTTTTAAGATCACCAAACAACCCTTCCTAGAAAACACAGCCTCAGGGCTGCACCTGAGAAAACCCCTCCTTGAGGGGCTTGCTCACACCCAAAAGAACTGTCTTCACACTTTACACAGGGTAGAAGTTGGGGCTTGAAACATTATCCACACACATGGTTCAGTGATATAAAACAATGCCTTACCTTTTAAGGGATTTTGTTCAGTTTTTCTTTCAAAACTGAAAGATGACTAAACATGTGTTATTTAAATAATCCCCAGCATGTTGTTTAGATTTGTTTTTAATTAAACGTCTTCCATTAAAAAAAATAAATCTCTGTATTCTGAGTTTGTCTAACATTCTAATAAATCATACTACAAAAAAAAAAAAAACATTTATTTCACTTCTAGCATAGTATAGGAAATGAAATGGGTCTGAAAGTCACTTCGTGTGGATTACGGTATCTGATTTATATTTAGCCTACCTCCAGGGAGGCTTTTCTGGGCAGGGCATTCTCACAGCCAATATGAATGCCTCACATTGTGCCAGTTAAAATACTGCTATAAATTTACCAAACTTTGCATTTTATTATTTCTTAGTCTGACTGTTATGTTTTGATTGTTACTGAAAATTAGGGAACCTACACTGATTGCTTATGGGAAAAAAAATAATTCACAGAGTCCTAGAAGGGCTGCTGTAGGGTGTGGTTATCCATTGAGGTGTATATAATCCATGGAAGAAAAGTAAAGAATACTGAATATTTGCTGTTTAAAATGTATTATTATACATAATCCTCAAGGAAGATTGTCCCTTCATCTAGCCCAGATATATGTACTTGGGTTAAATATGTATTTGCTAAAAGTCAAACTGTACTTTTATCAACTAGTGTGGCTTCTTTAGCAATGATGAATGCAGGCAATTTCTTGCTTTTTGTTTTTATCAGGGTGAGCAAGGATCTCCAGGAATCCCCGGAGTTGATGGAGAACAGGTAATTTTCAAAGATATATGCCATTAGTTAAAGCACCATTGTTATCAGTGCTTTCATTATAGGTTTAAAACCAAAGTCATGTCTTTTGACGTGATGCATACTCCCTTTTTTCCCATCATTTGTTCCACTTGAACTCCAAAACTATGATTGGTTTTAAATTAGATATCAGTTTTGTTGGTAGAAACGTAAAGCTATGTGTTACTTTAGTTTTGCTCTTGATACTACTGACCTGTCAATCTACCTCAACAAATTTTAATAGAGTCTTAAAATCTAAAATCATAACCACATCAAGAGAACAGCTTTGGGTTTAGGTTTGGGTTTTTTAGTGATTATAAGCAACTCAGTATCAAAATCAATTACCCTAGTTTTCACAAATAATAGTGTTGCTTATCTCAGCTCACTTGATAATATCTCCTTTTCCTGAATAATGATTTTCCTCTAATTTTCTATATATTTTGACAAATCAGACAAAAAGTAGAGCACTCTCCCTCTGCATACTATTGTAGCATCTTTGAGGGTGTCCTTAACCAGACATTGATAAAAGTTCTGTAAAGTTTAGACAGAAAATACTTTAGTTTTTGTGACTATAACTTGTCTCTATGTCATGTATTCTTTTCTTTAAACACATCTTACTTGTAAAAATATTCAACATAAATAAAAACAGTCACTAGGCTGGATTTGGCATGTCATCTGTGGCTTGGCAACTCCCGCCTTTTAAGAATTTTACTAAGAGAATGCAGACAGCATTCAGAATCAAACCACAAGGATTAGTTTCAAAATCTTTGAGGTTATATGGCCTTCTATTATTTTCTCAAGAAGTGGCTCAAGGGCTGCAAAGATGGCATTGTGGCTGAAAGCATGTGTTGCCCTTGCAAAGGACCTGGGTTTGCTTCCCAGCAATTCCATCAGGCAGCTCACAACCACCCATCACCCCAACTCCAAGGTGTCAGGAGCCCTCCTCTGGCCTCCACAGGCACCAGCACATATTCAGGTCCATGTACAGAATACAAAAAAAAAAAAAAAAAAAAAAAAAGGGGGGGGGTTTGAATGTATTTAAGAAAAAGCTTGAATTAATGAATAAGAAATTAAAGGAAATCCTGACATACTAAATTAACCATATACTCCTCAGGACAAGTACTAGGCAAAAAAAAAAAAAAATTAAGGGGCTGGAGTGATGGCTCAGTGGTTAAGAGCACTGTCTGCTCTTCCAAAGGACCCGGGTTCAATTCCCAGCATCCACATGGCAGCTCACAACTGTCTGTAACTCCATTTCCAAGGCATCTGACACCTTCACACTGATGCTCATAAAAAAAAAATTAAATAAGTTATTTAAAAAAATTAAAAACCTTTAACTTTAGAAAAAGAGTTATTTTTAATAACAGAATTGGATGTTAAAGTCATATAATGTCACATTAAACAAATATAAAAATAGTATAACTTAGTCAATTTCCCATGACACTCAATGATCACTTTACCCATTGTTAGTAATTAATGATAATAAATTGGACATGCATAATAATATACTGAATGTTCCTACATATAAAATATATACAGTGGCTGGATTTTTTTTTTCTATAGGCTTTGCAAGGTCCTGTTCTCCTGCTAAACCAGTTGAACTGGTCTTGTTGCTTTTCCCTGTAACAGATTCCTAAAACCCATTGATCTTTCTGATTAACTAGCAAGATACATTTATCTTTGCTGGCACTTTCCTACTCCCGCAGTATGTGATTCTGCACTCAGTATAAAGATAGTTAATGAAATTAATATGTGTTCTTGTTCCTGAGATGAACAGGTTTGTGAATCCCTACCACAGTAATCATGACCATCTGGCCATATTGCCACATGGTTGCTAGGATGAAAATGCTTAAGAACATTAATTTTTATTAATTACGATTTATTCATTTTGTATCTCAGCTGTAGCCCCCTCCCTCACTCCTCCTTATCCCACCCACCCTCTTCTGCTCCCATGCCCTCCCCCAGTCCACTGATAGGGGAGGTCCTCCTCCCCTTCCATCTGACCCTAGCCTATCAGGTCTCATCAGGACTGGCTGCATTGTTTTCTTCTGTGGCCTGGTAAGGCTTATCCCCCCTCAGCAGGAGGTGATCAAAGAGCCAGCCACTGAGTTCATGTCAGAGACAGCCCCAGTTCCCCTTACTAGGGAACCCACTTGGACACTGAGCTGTTATGGGCTACATCTGTGCAGGGGTGCTAGGTTATCTCCATGCATGGTCTTTGGTTGGAGTATCAGTCTCAGAAAAGAGCCCAAACATAAAAGAATATTAATTTTAATGTTAGTGCTCCATACCTCACATTTGTTAGTATTCACAGCCCACACAACTATTTTTTCATTGTAAAAGAATAGTAATTACATTCTGGTTCAACATGCAGAGATATCATGAGAACCATAACAGGGACACTGAACAAGCTGAGTGTTTCAAAGCATCAATTGAACGTTGGTGCTGGAAACTGGTGACAGCTAGAACTTATACACACCGTGAAGAGGAGGGAATGGCTTTGTGGAGATGGGAACATTTGCTTGGATCTCTGCTATTATAGTAACACTAAGCCCTGGTTTAAAATGTTTGCTGTACTGTTGAGAATTACAATCATTACATTGTCTTCTGGACTGGTAGGATACAATTAGCTGCCAAGCAAATTTTTGAAACCAGGAGAAATAATGCCAAAACCTGAGTCCATGTTTTTCATATTTAAATGGTCTATAGAACTTAATCCTATTACATGGAGAAATATGTTGATCCAATGTAGAAGGCTGTAAAAAGAAAATACCTGAAAACAAAAGTCACAGTCATCTCAGCATTCACCCACCTCTTGGCAGATTTGTCTGGCATCCCGTTAGCACCAGGATGTGCCTATCATGTTGTCACAATGCTTCTCACATGCAAACTCTAACTTGTAGGGACTCAAAGGCTCAAAGGGAGACGTAGGAGACCCGGGTATGCCAGGTGAAAAAGGAGGAATTGGACTGCCAGGATTGCCGGTATGTTCACACTCTATGATGTACTCTTACTGAAGTAAGTGACTGGGACAGAATTATATTCTGAACTGTACTCTCAGTTAGTGGTTTCCAAACTATTTTTACTCTTGAAATACTTGAAGTATTGCTTAGTTCTTCCAAGTGGGGAACTAAAATGTTAAAGTCTAGTCAGGACAATAAAAAGTAGGGGTTTGTGTTCTTTTTTTTTTTTTTCCTGAATCATTTTCTGTAGAAGATAATAAAGCAAATCAAACTGGGCGTTTGAATTTACTATGCAGAGTCAAGTAATTATCATAAAATAAGCCACAATAAAAAATAGACAATCACAAAACTTTAGAATCGTTAAAGAACAGATTATCTTGTGTGTCTATGCTTTAGAATGGTGTTTCTTCCTCAAGACTTACTGCTTTTTTGAAACTTGAGAAGGGAAAATACAGAAATTATGAAAAGTATAGACAATTTCCTGCCCTTTATACCCTCCCACCCTAGCCCCAGTACAAGGACTTGAACTTAGGACCCCATACATGACCACACACACTGAGCTATATTCCTAATCCTTTTGTTTTAACTTTCTATGTTTAAAAAAAAAATTGCATAGGCTGGCTTGCACATATTCTGAAACACAGACTGGCCTTGAATGTTTCATCCTTCTGCCTCAGACTCTAACTAGCCAAAATATCAGGCCTGTGCCACCTGAATATTCTACCTGTTTTTAAACAAGAATCCATAAATAAATGTCAGTGGAACTAAAGCCTCACCTTTGCTATTTAAAGTGAGCACACCATAAAAAAATAACATCATTTATAATCCAGTATATTTAATACTGTGAAATCAGGCTCAGCCTAGTTTCTGTTTGCTTTGTATTTCACTTTATATAGCGCCCATGATCCTGGGAAGCTTGGTAAATTTACTGCTTCAAACTAAAATGTGTGGAGATAAAGCTTATGTATTATGCGCATAAAATAAAAATTCAAGGGAGTCATGGGCTCAGTTGTCTGTTAGAGCATGGAATTAACTTTCATGCTAACCTTTGCTTCCTGGTTATTTGTAGGGTGCCAATGGAGTGAAAGGAGAGAAGGGAGACTCTGGTTTGCCAGGTCCTCAGGGGCCTTCTGTAAGTCCATGGGGCTGACCCTTCACACCCGATTATTATTTGCCTCAATCCCCCCTGTGCCACATGGCTAATCATTAGTAGAAATACAGTGACCCACTTGGTGGATCAAACTCTACACGATCCACGTTGGTGTTATACTTGTGAAATACACAGTCTCTCACTTTATGAGGTAGAAGCAGTTTTTTTTTTCAGAGCTCTGGGAGAAAAATCAATGGACTTCTCATAAGGCTTATAGGGAAAGCCTAGTGAAATAAGAACTCATGTTCGCTTTTTCTCCAGAGTCCTATTTGTGCTTAGTGAAATAACTGAGGGTTTAACAGTGGTTGCAGCATTATAGAATTCCTCAATAATCAGTTGCTTCCTTTTCTTTTAATATAGTTTTGATTTATTCTGGTTTTGAAGAACAGCTGTAGCGTTTGAAGTTATTTGACTCTCATAGAGGAATTTCTAAAGCCAGAGAGCCAAGCACGCCACCTCTCACAGTGGCCTTTCTCCTCTGTAATGACTGATGGCGTTAGCAGAGCCCTAGACCAAGACCCATGCTGGACTGTCTTATCTAAGTGAAGTAACCACATCCATGTGTTTTTGTTGTTCTGTTTTGTTCTGTTCTGTTTTGTTTTTGGATATACAGATCATAGGCCCACCAGGCCCTCCAGGTCCCCACGGCCCACCTGGCCCCATGGTAAGTTTTCCTTGTCTCTGAAATGTAGTCATTTATCTGTGAGTGTGTCGCAGGAGAAAAGATGAACCCAGCCAGCTTGTGCCTTTGTGCTGCTCTCTGTGGGATGAGCAGAAAAAGTGAGGTGCTTTGACCGCTTTGCAGTGCTGCCTTCCATTCCCCTAAACACATGTGTTAGAGAGACCCAGAGCTGCAGGGAGACAGATCTGGCAAGCTTTACTCCAACACTGTCTGAACATTGGCAAATCATTTTAACGGGTCACTGCTGCAGTCTGCTACGGTAATATTCGAGCCAGTGAAGAACGTACCTAACCAGCTCTGAAGCTTAAGACCCTTCTCCAAACTGAGTAGGACATTCGTAAACCAGTGTGATAAAGACTGAAGCTGGCTTCTACAGGTGATATAGATTATTCGTTTGTTTTGTTTTTTTTTTCTTCCATGTTAATGGCACTTCTGGTCATTCATTGAGCCACGCCATGTTTGCTCCAGTTGTCTCACAGTGAGCAATGGAAAACAGCAGCCCTGACCTCGTAGAACCTCCAGTGGGAAAGGCAGCTATAAAACGAGTTTGAATTCTCTGAACGTTGGAGTACTGACAGTTGTGTTTAGGCTAGAATGTGGACAGCGGAGTGCTTCAAGTGCTTTTGACACAGCAAGGAACACATCAGGCAGGCTATTGCATTACACTCCTCTCTCGGGTGTCTTCATAAGCCGGAAGACATCAATGATGTAGATTAACTCAGTTGTGGCCACACTCTGCTCCGACTGCACTCTAGAGAGAGCATTGTGGGTGTGACCCTAGCCACACAGGGAAGCCTGGTCACCCAGGTCTCGCTAATTGCCTCCTTTCTTTGGTAAACAACTTCAGTTAACCTTGTTCTCTTAACACCAAATAGTTTAGTAAGAATTAATTAAATGACATGTTTTGGGGTTTTTTTTTATACTCTTTTTACTTCAAGTTTGAAGGTTAAGTTAGAAAATGCTACATCCTGTTCAAGTGATAAAGTTAATTAGCTTTAAGGAATTTTAAACCATTATTAACTTGAGATAAGACTACTCAATGATGGCCTTTTCCCAAAAATGTTTATCTATAACTTATCAAAAGGAAAACGTAGACATATGTAACAAATATCTTGGCATACATGGTCAGTTATTTTTCTCTCTCTGTTTTATTTCACTGATGTCTATTTAAATATGCATCTTCCTGAATCGCTTATTAGAATCTCTTTAAAAGTTCAAAGCAATCTACAATAACCTTCAGTTAATTTAAATTGATAATCAGTTTCTATATTCGTATTTTCTACAAAATAACATTCTTTTTATCCTGATTCATGCATTTATTATGACCTCCTTTCTTTGGTAAACAACTATTAGAAGAGCCTTAAAGGATTCATTCCTGTAACAATAAATTCACTCCAAATCATGATGCTTAGCCCTCATTACTGAACGCCTCCACAGATTCCCACGCTTGGCTGCCATCTTCCTGTCTTCCTTAGATTCTTCAACACACTGGCCATGAAGAGTTATGGACAAAAATCTCCTCTTCCTTCCCACACAAACTATAGGAATACTTTTTTCCCCTGAATTTCCAACTTTCAAGTTCCACTTCTCTTTCATAAAAAAAAAAAAAAATCATGAATCATCTCAATTATTCCATCAGGTTATAAAATGAAAACTTGAGAAGAACCTGTAATGTAAATACAAAACAGGGGTTCTCTTTTTGCCTAATTTTTCTTCCATGAAAACCCCAGCAGCTTTCTCCCTCTCGTAGGCATTTAGCAGACAGAATTACTCTTAATGAATTTCCTATTACAGAGAAATCCAAGAGCTGGAAGGAACATTTGGTAGGTAATAAATAACATGCCACTGACCTGCCTCTAGCTATAGCTCCAACAAGAAGATTCTTGTTTTACATCTCATTTTATACTTGATACAATACTCACTTCTACAAGGAAGCAGTGAGTCAGTTATTAATTAAAGCTGTGCTTTCTGTTTTTAGGGACCCCATGGACTTCCCGGACCAAAGGTACCAGCAAGTCCCATGATTATTTGATTTCTGTGTTCTTGGTGATCACGGGCAAGCATGATGGAAGCATGTCTGTCCTGTCTTATTTATTTGTCAAGTAATGTTGATAGTCTTTAAGCCTTTAAGCATCCAGATGTTTTAACTCCCATAATACAACATGACTCACACTGAGTTTAAGTGCTATCACCTGGAAATAAATCATTCTTCATTTTGCTTTTGCCCTTGTCAGTGTATAACTTTAAAAAAAAAATACACAGTGTATTAAAATCTGCCATTTAGGGGTCATCTAATGAAATTCTCAGAGTAATCCAGGAGCTTTTCTTTTTTTATGTTGGCTATAGCTCTGTATTTGTTAGCAATTGAGCGTCTTGATTGCCACATATACTACTGCGTCTTCAGGCTTCGGCTACCTCGCATCTCAGTTTTGTACTTCCCACGGGTCATCATCTAGAATAGGACAGGATACATCAGCTGTGATGTCACAGAATTTATATGAGTGCAAAAAGGAGCAATAGAGACTTGGTCCTCCTACACTGGGAAGATGGTCTCTGCCTGTTCTTTATTTTTACAGAGACCTAAAGGGCATCTTCAATGCAGTGTTAGCACCAGGTACCTGAAAACCCAGAACAGCCATCCTCTCCTGAGGGTTGGCAAGGGCCTCTTCTGGCTCTCCTGGCTATAAGGGTTGCCAGCAATACTGGCCTAACTCATGACTCCTTAAATTTCCTTTTCAGGGTAATGCAGGTAACACAACAAGGAAAGAGTTGACACCTCATTCTTCTCAGAAGGCTTTACCTGCAGGTTAAACTAGTGGATAGCATATCAGTTGTTATAATGGCTGCGAGTAAACACCAAGATTGTTTTAATCCTGTGGTGACTGAGGCACATCATAACCATTTAATTAGATGATGCCAGAGATCCTTTTGATACAGAAAATGAAATTGGGTGTCTTATCTGCAAAAGAGTTGTTATTTACATTACTGATTTCAACAAAGTACAAAACTGAAAAGACCTCAGATGACTCATGTTAGTTTCTTGACTTTACAATTGATAAGCAATACAGACCCAAAGAATTTCACATATTTAATGCAAATTATGGGAATAGACGGTGGCCAACTTAGTAGATTTTAGTACAGATATGAAATTTGGTCTTTTTGCTACTGGGTTTGACTGTCTTTAAATTGAACTTCTCAGTTCCCACTCTATCAATGCATGATTCCCCATCAAAGATTTCCATGCCCTGCTAAGGCTGCCCTGCCTGTCCATCATCTTAAAACCACACACTAGAAATGTGCTTACATGAAAAGCCACGAATCTCAAGTTCAAAACAGTGGCTCCCTTGCCATGGCGTCAATGCATTTTTGACTGTGGCACTGTGACCTCAGGATTAGACCTGATCAATTACAGCATATTTGGGGTTTCAGCTGTGGCTACAGTACAGACTCATATCTTCAAAATCTACAGAGTCCGCCATGCTGTGACAGCGGGTGGAGCCTCTGAAAGTTCAAATATGTAGCACGGTTTCATGGATGTGCCCACCTGTTTCCCACAATTTCCTGATGAGCATTCTCACCTAGGCAGGCGTTAACTATACCCACGTCTTTGTTCACTAGGTTATGAGACACTAGACTAGGCTTCCCAAGCAGCACACTGATTGTCACCGTCAGGCAGACCAAGTAGCGCTTTGCAGGTTAAAAGTCCCTCCAGCCGGTGTGAGCACGACCCCCAAGCAGTGAGGTCGTCTGCGTCTCATGAGTCTTCCAGTGTTTTCTTGACAAATTGATGTCTGTATTAAAAGCTGGAAAGCGTGTATGTCCCAGCTTTCCCTGTTCTCTATATGCTATTCCTGATGGGCAATGGGGATGTCATAGCCCTAGATTTTTACCAAACTGAGTCAAGCAGATTTGTCACTTCTCAGGGCTCCTGAAATGTCATCCCATATTCAACTGTACTTCCTTGATTCTAGTATGGTGCACACAGTTAGAAAGACCATATTTAAGTTCTTTGATCTTCATGTTCTCTTCTGGGACTGTCACTTTGTGGTTTACTCTATTGATTAATCCATGTAAGAACCTGACTTGGCAGTGTCAGGGAATGAGGACTTACAGAATGGCATCACTTCAAACACCAGCATCTACGTTTTCAGTTCATTCTCCTGGGCAAAATGCTTAAAGGCTTAAGATGTCTGTCTATAACACTGTCCTGCATATTCCAGTTTTCAATCCCAGCAGAGTGGGGTTTTCCGACTGATCCCCTTCAGTATCCTCCACTCTGATTGTCTTTGATTCACTTAGTCAAAACAATGTAACACTAACTTCCTTGATGTAGAACTCCAAACCCCATGGAGTCAGCTATCCATCTTTTCATGCTACTCAACATATTTTCTTGAGCAGTTTGCTTTCTGGAATATTATTTGCCTTCTCTAGTTTATTAAGTTTTAAATTAGGTTATTAACTGATGCAAAACCAACCTAGCCCCACTCTGCTGTTACCTAAAACTGGAATCTGCAAGTGTTTTGGAGACTGGGTCTCTTCTCTCACAGTTTAAACACCCATGATAGCAACCAAAATTGGCATTTGCTTTTGCATTTAGGGTGAACCAGGGTTAAATGGTGTTAAAGGATTGAAGGGTGAACCAGGTCAAAAGGGTGACAGAGGACCCCTTGGTCTTCCAGTAAGTAAAGAAAACTTTCCATTTCAGTGCAAATCTCAGATTTTTCTCTCTACCCTAAGTAACAACTCTGGTTTGCTCAGGCGCCATCTTACAGTTGAGAATCCTGTCATCAGAACAGAGTATGTCAGAGCAGAGCGCAGCCCAGTTCTGTTTTCCCTGATGTCTTGATCTTGTGTCTGAAGGTGACCCCGTAACAAATGGTGCCGCAAACGTTCCGTCACTCTTCAATTACATACGTGCCAACCTTGCTCACATGGGGCTGACAGACAAGTTCCGCCATCATCTCTTCTAAAAAGTGATGCGTTTATTGTTTCACAATTTCTCCCAAACACTCTTATGGTCTAATAGAGGTTAAGACCCTCTCTCCATTGTTTGTATCTTCTTGCATTCGAAGAACTGTAGCCCCCTGTTGGTGGCAGGTATGCGATTGGCCATCGTTGCGGTCAGTGCTGTGGCTCCTTACATTAATTGACCACATTGTGTTCTACATGTTTTATGTTGTTCGTTTTTTTGGCGACTCCCTACTGTGAGGTTCGTGGGACAACAGTAGATAGTTACAGAAGAAGTATTTCTCATTCATAATGAAAAGGGGCTTCATCCATGCACATATTCCATGCCAATATTCTTCCCACTGCTTAACAGGCTTTCTTGAAATTATTATCAAGTGTAATGGTTTAATTTCAGCATCTTAATATGTTGTTTACTCAGTAAATAAGAGTCAGTAAGTTACATCTGTAAAATATGACATAAAACCAATAACAGAAAATAGTTCTATATTTGAGATGTGAGGTTAAAAAAAAAATGTTGGTGGTCACCTATCTTATTTTTTCCATTGGTGCTGTGATTCAGCATGCTTCCTCAGGCTTCCTCAAAAGCCTGTGGTTTATATATCAGACACAGTGGGTATCTTGTATACATTTAGTTATTGAATGAATTATGTAAGCTCTGTATTACAGTTTAGGTTAAATCGTGCCAATTGGATCTATAGATCATAGACACAAAATCTCCAAAACATTTGTTAGCCATTAGTTCTGCACTGCAGTTAGCTAGAGAATTTTATGATCAATATAAAATTATCATTTTAATTTTTTATCCTCAAATGTTATGATAGTGACTAAGGAAAATATCAAAGGGGAGGGCTTGAGAAACTTTGCGTTTCCTAAACTTTTAGTCTACTTTCTCTAAACTAACTTATCCGGCTGTTAAATTTCGAGCCGCTGTTGATTTTTACAGACCATTTAGTGAAGTTATCATTAAACAAGCAACAGCAATGCCTACAGTCTATAGTCATTGCTACCCAAAGCTGCATTTTATACGCTTATAGCATTGATTATGACAGGATCATACTGAAGAAATTCTTAAAAAAAAAAAAAAAAAACTAAAAATATTCCAAATGTATATGTGTTGGTATCACTGGCAGCTGAAATAGTTTTTTTTTTCTCCCATTTTTTGTTATTACCTGTACCTGAAGCATGAAGCAGAAAAAGAGTTCTGCAGCCTGCCCAAGATAATCTAAAGAGCTAACATAATGTCATCTTAACTGTTTCTTGATCTACTCCATATCTTTAAGTACTATTAGGGGGTTGCTATATAAGAGCTTAATCAAAAAGAACTATAGTTACTCTTACAACATAGAAAGTGCCATTTTTATAACTCACTATGTGTAGCCCTCAGTTCAGAATAAAGAAAGGCATGTGGTAATCTGTGGAGTGCTGGTTTTTAAGGCAATCCTCATGCAAACACCAATGTAAAGATTTTCTGAACTGAACTGAACTGAACTGAACTGAGGGACAAACTGGAAGTTGTTTTAACACTTGAGCCTGCAATTTTTTTTCTTGTTCCTAGAAGTCCCTCTAGTGGTGACGAATGGAAATTTTAGGTCCAACACATAACGTCTGTAATAAACTCAAGCCATCCCAGTATATTAAAGCATTGCATTTTTGTTCACAAAACCATCTTAACAAGTGTAGCCAGAGATCTGGAGCCCTTTACTAAAAGATTGCCATTACTTTCTCTTCAGATCTAAAGAAATATATCATGAGTAGTGGTCTTTAGAAAATGAGTTTCATGTGGACATACAGCTAAGGATCCCTTCACTATGGACTGTCAGCGAATAATTTATAGCCCGCTGTGTAAACCTCATTCACCAGACTTTTAGATAAGAATTTCCTGGTAGAAATGTCACTAAAATGCCATCATCTGTAGGGCATGTATTGTCATGTGACTTTTTAAAACTAACTCTGTAGCAATGTGATATTCATCCCAGAATCCTGTGAGTGTGTATTGTGTTGCTTGAAGTGTTGCATTTGTTCATTGGTGCCTCATACTAATCTCTGTTCTTGTCATTCGTGTTACACCCACCAACCCCGACACCAACCCGATCACACAGGGGGCATCTGGCTTAGACGGAAAGCCAGGATCCCGGGTGAGTTGGCCCCGAGTCCTGCTCCAATGTGCTTCATGGATGGGAATTATGTGCTCCCGGAAAGACCCCTTCTTCACCCCTTGTGGGTTTTCCAGATAATGAGGGGTCACTTAGGACAGGAATCAAAGTGGAAGGTGGATGAGGACGGTGGAAAGGGAGAAAGAGCAACAGGGAATGGCTTGCAATGCCAACATTTAGCCTGAGCTGCCAGGACATTTTCAGAAGCCCAAGTCCAAGTCTGGATAATTTACTAAGTGAGAAAATGAAAAGTCCAGTTGCCTTAGGTGTCTCATCAATCTAAAACAACTCATGAAAACCACACTGGAATCCCACACGGCCCTGAAGCAGTGAAAAGAAGGAATTTATTTTAACTTGCTTTTTCTTTACATTTACGTCCATCTTAGAAATGTAATTTATTCCATAAAACTGATTTCCAAGTCTCTGTTCATGGAAATAGAGCCTTCCCTCACTTTTATCACTTCTCTCTCCTCTCTCTCTCTTTTAAGTAGGTCCATCTCTTACATTTCAGCCATGGTCACTCAGTATTTAGAAATCCTGTAGAGGTGACCATTGAGTTGAGGCAGTAGAGCATGATCAAAATAGTAAGAATTCACCAACGTGAGAATGAGATTGAAACTCTGAATTCTTTCCTGTCCCGAAACCCCCAAAGCCTAGCAATGGGAATGCCCCAGAGAAGTTGAAAGGAAATAATCCTTATACTTGCAAATACTATTTTGCACCCTTTGCCACTTTAAGCATAAAGTGATGATTGAGCAAGTATATTTGAAATCCTTACCTCATTTTTAAGAATCTAAATTTGAACTTTTTAGTTCTAAAAACCTTTGAGTAGGACCCCAGAGTTCTGACCTTCTTCCAGATATTATCTTATCTGCCACAGAAGCCAATTATGCCAACTGGGTCACTTGACCTGCCTGATGTGCAAGCTATGAGCCTCTAGAGCCTAGAAGAATAGTTCCCCACCCCACCCCACCCCACAAAATGAAGATGCTTCATCAGAGGAGAATAAATAACTGTGAGATATAACTTTTATGTATACACTTTGTTGAAATATGCAGTTAGATACTTCATCTCTCTTGCATGAATTTCTCAAAAATAACCGGCATGAAAAAAAAAAACATTAAGAATAAAGTGATTTAAAATCAGATAATTTATCCTAAAACACCCACTGACATCAGTCTCCCCAACAAGTCAGAAATCAGGACTTCTCCTCTTGCAGCCTGGCCTCTCGTGTGTCTCATAGTATTTCGTTTCTATCTCTTTTAGGGTGCAGATGGTCCTATAGGACCCCATGGCCCTGCAGGTCCCAAAGGAGAAAGAGTAAGTCTCTTTTCGGGTCGTCACAGCTAAGCTGAGTACTGAAGGAAACAAAGGGTGGCTCCTTTAAAGTGATCTCAAACTGCTTCTTTTCCAGGAGAGATGGAGGGCTAGCTGGTGTTAAATGAAATTATTGCCCATTTGAAGTTCTATTCAGGGTCCTAAGACTAAGACAAGAAAACTACACGGTATAAAATGGAATCGGCCTGCCTTAATGAAAACAATGCATTTACATAGCTAAAATAAATAGCTCCCATTATTCCTTCTTAACCCATAAGGAAGATATTTTCATTGGGCCTTCATCCAGAAAGTTGAAGTCAATGGGGCAAAAATTTCCAGAGCTACATATTCTGGTTGATAATCTTAATACAAAGCTACTGTACTCATTCTGAGTAAATTATAATGTTTTTCCAAAGGAAATTACAAAACCTATGTATTCTTCTCCACACAGTTACCCACGCTCTCATTTTTCTTTCGTGAGTTAAAGAATGACCTGTTTTCCTCTAGCCATAAGGAAATGATTTTGGTGCATTATAAAACAAAGCCCTTTCACCAGCCTCACTATTCTAGGCTGTGTTTCCATATCCTTGGGAGGGAGAAAAAAAAAAAAAGATAGACATTCAGGGGAAGATGAATATCTGACACACAAAAATGCGCTGCAGCCTCCGCAGCTGCTCGTGCGTCTGGAACTTCTTTCCCCTCTCTCTACTTTTCGCCCACTTTTTCTTTTCTTCACCTTGGAAAACTCCAAGTGTGTGTGCGTGTGTGTTTGTGTGTGTGATTGTGTCATCAATTTCCCTGCCGTGCACTACATGTGATAAAGAGAGTATGCTGAACATGAGCATTTCACGATGTTGGCACGTTTCACCATGCAAGTTTGTGGTCTTTTTAAAGTGAGAGTTTTCATCAGTCTGGGCTAATTTGATTTTTAAAGAGAGGACCAGGTAGTGATGTCTCTTACATGCCTTCTAATTCCCTAGTCCTGTGTGCTGTAAAGTTTATCAGATGAGACTGTGCAGTTCAGTCCTTTGGGGAAGAAAGAAATACTCCTACTACTTGAAGAAAACCCTCTTTCTAGTTACTCTGGTACACTGAATAATACCATTATAATTGATTCATCACCATCACATAGACCTCTAATAATGCTTATAAATATAGCCCCAATAGATAAATAATTCTGCAGAGGAAGCATCTATTTTCTTTTTTTCCTTTTATTAAAAATGGGTTCTTTTATCACATAATATACCCTGATGGTGATCTCTGCTCCTGGTACTCCACCCATTTCCTTCCCCCCCACCCCTCCCATCTCAATCCACTCCCTTTCTGTATCTCATTAGAAAGGAGCAGGATTTCTAAGAGATAATATCAAAATGGAGCAAAACAAAATATCACATCAAAGTTGGACAAAGCAAACCAAGAGATGGAAACAAAACCAAAAGAAGGCACAAGAATTAGGGACCCACTCATTAGCACACTCAGGAATCCCATAAAAACACTAAGCTGGAAGCCATAATATAAATCAGAGGACATAATGTAGACCCTGTGCATGCTGCTTCCATCTCTTTTGAGTTCCTAAGAGCTTTGCTCATGGTGAATTAGAATGCCTTGTTTTCGTGATGTCCTCCATCCCCTATGGCTCTTACACTCTTTCTGCCTTCTCTTCCATGGGGTTCCCTGTGAGCTGAGAGGAGCGATTTGATAGAGACTTCTCATCTAGGGCTGAGTAAGGAAACATCTATTTTCTTTAATCTAGAAGAGATTATATTGCGGAGAAGAAATCTATGCAAAAATAGCCAGAAAATAAGGCCAAAGTTAACACAAATAGTATGTGTTTTTGTGAAGACTGGTTTTATCCAAGAAGAATTCCAGGAAGAGATGAGCCCTGAAGAACATATTACCTGAATCTACGATTATTATTCCTAAAATCAAGCCAACAACTTCCAATAATTAGCTTCATTAAAAATACTTCAAAGCCAAGAGCGTCCCTGCTGCTGACAAAGATCCCTTTTCAGGCACTGTATGAAGAAACGCAGTCCATCCTAAAATTGGAGCAGCAAAGCTCAGTTAGTCTGTTGGCAAAGTGCCCCGGGGCTCAAGAGGGTTTGCTGTTTGGTAAATCAGCTGCTACTTCCGATAGCTCAACAGTGTCTCAAGGGTATCAGGTCTCGGCGCTGCTGCAGCATTAACCAGAAGAGCAAATGAAGTCGCTAAGAATTTTTGAATGCATAGTTGAAGGCAGGTGCGTGCAGTGTGAAGTGCTACACTTGTGCCTCCTCAAGCGGGATCGTGTGTCGCTACCCTCCAAGGGCCCTCCCACAAAGTACGGGAGCAGAGTGTGAGTCCCCGGGTTAATGGAGGTGCCATCTGGAGGCTCCCGCAGACGTTTCTGATTTTGAAGCAGAAGGGATGGGCAGCGGCAGGGCATTCCAGAACGAGTCCTGGGGCCTGAGATGCAAATCGAAGGGCCCGGATAAAATTCATCCAGCGTGAGGGACATGAAGCATTTCACATGCAAGATTTCCCAAACACTTGACTGGCGCGTCGGCACAGCTCTCCACACTCCCTGCCTTCCTCTGATTTCCTCACCTGCGTAGAGGACAGTGCGCTTGAAGCCGTGACTAGTTCCCTCCTTTGACTTACCTCAACCAACATGCTTTTCTCCTCCAGCTACGTTCACTTGGGATCTGTGTCCCCATAGCTGGAAGCATACTGGTGGCTTTCGCTTCAGATACTGATTTCTTCCTCTATCCCTAGAACTCTGTAGTGTTTTAAGTTTGACGGGGCCAAAGCTTCTTTTGGAGTCCCTTAATCCAGAAAAAATAACAATAATAATAATAAGATACTACATGTTCAAATCCCTGGGTTACTATTTCATATCTGAGGGTATCCAAGATGCAATCAATGGGGACTGATGCTTTGTGCTAAAGAAGAGATCCAAATCCCATGTGGCTCGAATAGAAAGAAATACCTATTTCATATAACCAAAAGGCCAAAGGGGGCTAGGTCCTGCTTCTATCCAGGCAAAAATTCTAGCTGCAGGTCCAGGGGCTACCCAGGGAGACTTGAATGGAGGTCAGAGCTGAGCTCTCTACAAGGCAGCGAGACGTTAGCAGGGAAAGCACCCTCCTTGGAGCACCCAGCTGGGTCCCCCTGTGCCTGCTTGGCCAGAACTGGCTCATGTGGCCACTGCTCAGGGGGCTCCGCTGTGAGGGGCAGGCTAGTCTAAATGAGAAATCCCGCAGACAAGCTCTGCAGTGACCGCTAACTCTATGAAGACGAGCCCCAGTATGTCCCTTTAAAAACCAAGCAAGCCAGGGCTCCCAGTGGCGGTGGGAGCAGGGATGTGGGGAGTCCCAGAGTGCTATTTAAACTACACCCAGGCTGCTGTCCAGCTGGCCTGCTTCTCCGACCCCTGCCTCTAACCCCCACTCCCAACAAACTGGTAACACACACACACACCATTTTAAAACTCAAAAATAACACCGCCAAGTCTGTCTGAAAGAAATTGATTCTCAATTAGCATACTTTAAAGCTTCCATTTAAAACATGACCCTTAATTGTACAGCAGCCAGCACTTTTAACATTATACTTTTAACATTTTACATTATGCATAGAACATTTTAACATTGTACATTTAACACTGTATAATGTCATATATTACTATCATACTCCATCTTCAGAACAATTTTCACAGAATATTTATCACACTGTTTTATCTTATGACTGATGTGACCCAAGCACAAAAGGGTTGAGAACGCTCCTAGACTTCTGGAGGCCTCACCCCAGAAAGAGCCAGACATATAATTCAAATTTAAATCTGTTTTGTGAACAGCCTGGCCATCGCCCTGTGTACCATTGCTGTTTCATTATTAGCAAATATAAAGTGATAAGGAGAGCTCAGATTCTTTTTTTTTTTTCAGGGCATTTTTTAAATTTTTATTTTTATTAATTACACTTTATCCACTTTGTATCCCCCTGTGGCCCCTCTCTCCTCCCCTCTCAACCCATCTCCCCCTCCCCTTTCTCTACCCATGCCTCTCCCCCAGTCCATGAATAGGGGAGGTCTTCCTCTCCTTTCTGATCCTAGTCTGTCAGGTCTCATCAGGAGTGGCTGCATTGTCTTCCTCTGTGGCCTGGTAAGGCTGCCCCCCCAACCTCCATCAAGGGGAGGTGATCAAAGAGGAGGCCACTCAGTTCATGTCATAGGCAGTCCCTGTTCCCATTACTATGGATCCCACTTGGACACTGAACTGCCATAGGGCTACATCTGTGCAAGGGTTCTAGGTTATCTCCAAGAGTAGTCCTTGGTTAGAGTATCAGTCTCAGAAAAGACCCCTGTGTCCAGATTTTTTTGGTTGTTACTCTCCTTGAGGAGCTCCTGTCTGCTCCACGTCTTACTATCTCCCACTTCTTTCATAAGATTCCCTGCACTCTGCCCAAAGTTTGGCTATAAGCCTCAGAATCTGCTTTGATACCCTGCTGGGTAGAGCCTTTCAAAGGCCCTCTGTGTAGGCTCCTGTCCTGTTCCCTGTTTTCTCCCTCTTCTGATGTCCATCCTCTTTGCCTTTCTGAAGAGGGATTGAGCATATTAGCCAGAGTCCTCTTTCTTGATTAGTTTCTTTAGGTGTACAGATTTTAGTATGTTTATTCTATATTATATGTCTAATATCCACTTATCAGTGAGTATATACCCTGTGTGTCTTTCTGCTCCTGGGATACCTCACTCAGGATAATCTTTTCCAGTTCCCACCATTTGCCTGCAAATTTCATGATTTCCTTGTTTTTTATTGCTCAGATTTCTTAAAGTTATCCATGTCTAGTGATCCCATTGTATTCCATGTGTCTCTTAGCTCAGAGCATTTAGCCATAGCTTCACCAACCCCCTAAATTTAAAAGACAATTGCTGGTGATGCCTGATATCTGCTCATGAGGAAACCCTTAGAACAGGGAAATAAAACCCTATCCCGTGCCTCGGCAGGTAGTGTTTGAAGGGCACACACACACACAAACACATACACACATACACACACACACACACACACACACACACACACACCACTCACATACACGAATGGACTAAACTTTAACTCCTCTGAGAAAAGGCACAATAAAAGAAGGAAGATAAAACTGTCTATGGAGGTACCCATTTCTACATCACTATTGCCCCTGACATTTTCATGCACCATAATAACACACACTTTAGTCTGGAGAAAGCAGCACAAAAATTCTCTTTAAAATGAAAACTATATCTTCATTGGGTTCATTATTTGTATTCATGGACCACTTCCAATAACCCTGATTCTTCAGAAGTATTCTGAATTATTATTTATGCTAACCCTAAAAAATGAACAACTAAAGAGAGTAGGTAAAAGGAGTATGTGTCTACATACCAAATACTCACTAAAGGCAGAAAGGTTCTTCAGTCTTCTTTCTCAAAAAGAAAACAAGATGTGTATAACCCAATGTGATTCATTTAGTCAACTAATATTTACTAATTGCTGGGCACTATTCTAAAACGTGGTTGATGGCACCAAAGCTGGGGGCCCTGAAGCCCCAGTGTGGCCATTCCAGCAAGAGCCACAGTCAGAAACTAACAGTAAGACCTGTGTATCTCACAAAGAACAAAAACCAGAAGTGAAGTGCGGCTGGGGAAATGGGGTGGTAAAGACTTCTCAGAGGAAAAACTTGACTTTTAAGAAATCTTAAAATAAAGAAAAAAAAAAAAAAAAAAAAAAAACACAGGCCAAATATTCCTAATCCAAAAATTCAAACTTCGAATCACTCTAAAACCTCTGAGCACTAACAGAGCCCCACAGCTGGGAATTCTACTCCGGGTATATGACCCATTGTAGTAGAAACACAAACACAATAAAAACAAGTGCATAAAATTACCTTGTACAGTATTTATGTATAAGACAAATGTATTTTGTACTTTCTTGCCTCATCCCCCAAGATTCCAAACCCAAAGTCCGAAGCGTTTTGGGTAAGGGAGAGGAGCCTACAGATTAAAACAAACTAGTGCTTTACACAAATGCCGGAGGGACCCAAGTAGAGCGACCTACTCATAGCACATCTGGGTTGGCGGTAGCTTCTTCTTGTCCTTTCAGCAGCCATTTAGCAGAATCTGCCATGGCGGATGACTTTCACTGCTTCGCCACTGCGATCTTGAAGGAGTGTGAATTATTGGCATTCTGAGAGAACCCTTAAATGGCGGCTGGCTGCAGGAGCCACGTGGGAATATGAGGGTCTGTGGGTGACTGGAACTCTCTGCCTCTTCATTTCAGGGAGAAAAAGGCGCTGTGGGAGAGCCTGGACCCAGAGGACCCTATGGGCTGCCTGTGAGTTCACTGTCACGTGATTGCCACGCTCAGCATGCTACTGTGACCTGCCACTGACATGGTTAACCCTTCCCTCGTGGGCAGACTAATCTCATTATAGAGCAAAAGAAATCCAATGAAGAGTCACAGTGCCCAGAGTTCTGTACTGCAGACAGGTGGCTCTTGCTCCCGAATGATCTCTGGACATGAGGACACCCAGGCATGTCATGTGACTGGAGATTGGAGACTAGGGGACAAACAGTGCTAACTGGAAAGCAAGATCCTGCCTGACAGAGGGCACCCTTCCTATGCCACCTGAACGTACATTCATAACTGGCACTCCCTTGAAAGGTTACCCATTGGGTGGGAAAACTTCATTTATAACAACCTTCATGTCTTGTCTGTTCTCATAGACTATTAGCAAAAAAAAAAAAAAAAAAAAAAAAAAAAAATTCTTGCCGGTGAAAATTACGACCCACATTAAATGGATATTCATGACGACGGTGTTTTTGATCTTTCTAAGTTCCTGCAAGGACAAACAATCGTTAGAATATAGAAGGTTGGCAGCGTTCTGTCTCCTAAAATTCCGAACTATGCATAACCAAACCGAGGCCACCAGTTTCTGCAGAAATAATCCGTGCAGTGAGCCCAGTCAGTTTGGTAGGGTAGGACTGAAAGCACCATGTGTTGCATTTCCGTTTTTAACCTGCCTGTGCTTCCCACATGGTTATTATGAACTCATGATAGCAACCTTCATTCACAAGTATTTCAGTGCTTAAGGGGATGCTGATTTTGAGATAGCGTCAAATGGAGTCAGGGTAGCTCTCGGGGACTTTGGATGGAGCATAGTCTGATCCAGCACTACCACTGCGATGACCTGCACCATGGGGCCCAAGTTACCATCTTGGGTCTCAGACCAGCCCTCCTTGGGAATTTTCTCTTCGACAGAGCTCACTGCAAAGAACTCTTGAAGATGTGATATTCATACTCTATCTGGCCAAATTCAAACTATATTCCATGATAAACCATTTTCAGGTTCCTCATTAATTTAAAAGTTAACAGAGCTACCAAACTAAAGGAACATTGATTTACATCCTCCATTAGAGTCTCTGTGTTTTTTAACTCAACAGTTTTGTTTTGGGTTTTTTTTGGTTTTGTACTTCCTGCCTGAAGTCAAGCACAGGACTTGAGCAAAATTATCTACTTAACCCAATAATGGATTAAAATTCCTCATGCCCCATAACTTCAACTAACAGTCCCTTCACGTGATTAAAAAAGTTTCACTAATCAGAAGCCTTTTCACATTTCTAGTATAATCTTTTTTAAATACTAATGTTGCATGCCCAGAGAAGCCCTAAACCAGGACCTATTGATGAAACATAGGAACACTAATTTAGCTACTGTGGTTCTTTGGCAGGGCAAAGATGGAGAGCCTGGTCTTGATGTAAGTAATCTGTATAGCAAACATCCTTCAATTACACTAGACACTCAATGGTCTCCATCATCAGGGACACCAAAAATACACAATATTTTGTCTATGTATGTGTGTGCATATACAAATATGTATACTATATATGTATATCTTATAATCTTTATATATTATATAATTATTGTGCACATACACAGCAATATAAAATACACCAGTATTTATTTACATAGATATGTAAAGGAAAGATAAGTCATATGAAATCAGTAACTGACATTGCATAGTAGTACTTCAAAATACATTCCTATATTAAGAATACTTAGCATCGGTATGGCCCAATTATAGAAAAAATAAATACGTATCAGATCAGTATGCCTCTCACATGCTGCCCTTGGGGAATGGTGTTCTGTCAAAGCTGCTATGCAGTGGGGGTTTTTTTCCATTAAGTCTCTATGTACATTTTCTCTTATGCTAAAATGTATAAAAATGCAGGCTGTCAAAAGTAAATGCGTCTAGCAGCAATCACTGCTTGTCAGTATTATGAGCGTAATTAGGTTAGCGGAGTTGCTTTTACTGAGCACCTGTTATATGCAGGCATCTTTCTGGCGCTTTGCATCCACTGTCTCATTTATCGTCTACAACAGCTGTGTGACAATAGTCATTAACCTTTTTTTATAGTCAGAGGACTGAAGGGCAGAGGTAAGTGATTTGCCCAAACCCACACAAGTTAGTAAAAGTGCCAAGGTTCAAATTAAAATATTCTTCTTTCTGTCTCCTATATTTTTTAGCAGAAAAAAAAAAAGCAAGAAACCTGTTGTTGAAATAGTAAAAAGTACTATTTCTAGGTGCTGCTGTTCTTTGTAAGTTTAAAGATTATCTGACATGTCCATTTTTACACCTGAGTTCAAACCAATGAAATGTGGTGGTGGTAAGCGGAATTTGTGGATTTCAGTAACAGTTTTGTCACAGTTACACCTATAGAGTTTTCTTTTCATCCCCTAGGGCTTCCCCGGTCCTCAAGGCGAGAAGGGTGACCTTGGAGAAAAGGGAGAAAAGGTGACTTCTCCATGCATGCAGCTTGTGTGTTTCTGCTAGCTCTGTCTGCTCTGCTGCTGCTGAGCCTGTGTAGTTCCATCAGACACCATTCCTGTCTCAATCCTGTGTTCCAAAAACATACAGGTGGCTGAACTAAGGAATCAGGCTTCACACAGGACTAAAGAGGGCTACACAGCTAGACACCAGGGAACTATCCAGCATAGGAGGAAGATTCTAACCCCTGGATTTCAAAGCTACAGTCTCTCAACTTCCTGACACCAGTTTTTTTTTTTAATGTAATGTACAGGGGGATTGATTTTTTTTTAACAAAAGTAAAATTACATCACACAAACCTCAATGGTATTTTGACAAAGCCCATCTCACCCGCAGGCCCTGATCTCGTTTATCTTCATGGCGTTCCTGGAGGGAGACTGATGCATGATACATTTTGATTTTTCTAATTCGGAGGTAGAGGACAGGCACTGTGACAGGCCACAGTATGCCTACTGTGCAGAAGCTACTCTGTTAACTGTAAAGCCAACAGTTCTGGCTTTTTAATGAAGTCATTAGTTATTTTACAGCTTGGTATTGAGGATTTCTTGGGACTGTCAACTCCATAGGTTATAGGGGCCAATATCAAGCAATGTGATTTTATGACTAAAAGAAAAGTTTGGGTTGTGACTTTTAAACTTCACTTTTTCCGTTTCTTTTCTTCTGTTATGTCTCTTTCTCCCTCCCTCCTTTTCTCCTTCCTTTCTCTGGTTTGCTGTACTCTTTAAGCCAATAATAAGCCAAATTTTACATTGGGTAAAACAAAAGGCAACAAAAAAGTAATGAAAAATCTTAAAAGTAGCTGAAGATCTACCTCATGATTCCAATTTAAACCAATTCTCCTCCTTAGATTAATTCATGTCCTAATATATGTTTCACAATTCAATGTCTATTTTTTTAAAACCCAGTAAATTCTTTCTTATCCCTGTTGTGATACAAGACCAAAAGGGATATGTCAAAGAAAGTTTATGAAGTCCACTGCATATGCTTTAAGAATTAAGTTACTCAGCCTCCCACTAGAAAGAGCCCATCCCAAAGCACCATCGTCAACATCATCATATATGTTGGGCACCTGGGCATCTCTTCCCCCAAGAGCTTTACACATGATAAACCTTGAACTTTCCACACCGCCATCCTGAGGTGGACACTATCGTTTCCCCACTTCACCAACAAGGAAAACCTATCATAAAAAGTCCTCTTCCACGTTGTAAATCCTGACCACACATTGTATGTGGCATGAGATAACTTCTGCGTGAGAACACTGAACGCAATCAAATTGTTTCAAAGGCTGTGTTCACTTAGCTTCTACTTACCTAGGGGCTTGTATGAATCTAACCTCTTACTCAAGAGAAAAATATATCATGTGGTACTCAATTTTATGATCTTTAAAGAAGCTAGAAATTACACCAGGATTCTATCAGTGGTGAGTCCTTTCCTAGCATTCTCAAGGCCCCGAGTTCATTTCCCTCGAATTACAAGGAGAAAGAGGAAGAGGAATGTTGGGGAGAGAAGAGAAACGTCCATTGTTGTAGCTTATAAAGCATAAACTCACAAACCCATCCTCAGAAAAATGTCAAACACCCATACAAAAATATTTCCAAGATTCGAAGTTTATATTTAGGAAAATTAGATTCTAAATGTTGAACACCTTAGGTATCTTTTTCTTTGATGTAAGAAGTGAAAATTGACAATAATTATCACATTTCAATTGTTCACATCCACAGTGACAGATAACTTTGTGGACCATTGATAAACATTTCATTTTACAACATGATGTTGATTAATAATGCTGACATTTTATTCTTTGTAATGGCCCTTCTCCATAAAGCTGGCTGTTCACTTAACTATTAACAAAAAATCATTGTCGTTGCCTATCCCAGTAATTTGAGTAGTTATCTTAACCCCATTTTCCAATCAAGTAATGAATCCCACTTAATAACCAACACACCTGGTCTTGGTTAGACCTACTCAAAGATGGGTCTGCTGCCTGCAGGGAGGGCAGAGCACACTTTAAAAGTTTCAAACAGTTCATGTCATGGCATTGAAGCCACTTGCTGAGGGAGGGTGCTGATTTCTTCTGAGTGAGTGCTTACTTCTGAATGTATCATCCACATTATTTCCTGTCACCTGCTCTTTCCGTACCCTCCCTGTCACAGCTTTCTCTTCAATCATGCTCAACCAAACCACACAGAATTTCTCTCCCCTGTATTCAAGAAGCCCAAGTGGTTTTGATTCCAAGCCTTCTGCTCTAATGTCTTTGTCACACAGGAGGTGAACGAGGAGGAACCTCAGGCCTTGCTGTCAGAATGGATGTATTAATTTGAATGAGTGTCTCATACATAACTGTGGTGTATGTTGCTCTGTCTTTTTCATTTTGGATATTCATGTTGTTTGCTTCAGAGACTGTTCAGTTTTATTGCAACTGCCATCCAGATTGCAGAATGAATGCTCTCATTTAATTACGTATCTATGTATCATCCTTTGCATTCTGTACAGCACCAACTCCTGTCTATAAGTCTGTAGATGTGTATGCTAATGTGAAACAGCTGGGGAGCATTCCTTCCTTCCTCTCCTTTTGCCTCCTTTCCTTAATTCCTCCATTCCTATGATCCATGCAGATGTCCCACAAACCTTGACCTTGATTCCCAAATACTAATTTCCACGGCTACATTCCCACTATATAATTATCCTGCCTACCTCATTTTAATGAGCCCAGACTGCTTTTTCTATCTGCAGAACTGTGAGCTGGAAACTCATTTACCATTGTGAACAAGAAAGATTGGAGCCCGCCTAGGCTTAGAGATTTGTGTTTAACTCAATAAGTTGAGTATTCACTTTTATGCTAGGGAGAAAAAGTTAAAAACCAATAGAAGCACATTTCAATACCTGAATATTTTGACTGAGAGCTGCAATAAGAGTATAACAGGACAGCCTTGGGAGAGACCAAGGCTGTTGCCTCTCCCTCTGAGTCTCTGCAGCCATCATATGTTAAAGAATAAGGAGGGGGCAGGCAAGGTGAAAGTACTCACAGTTGGGTGAAGTATTCATTATGCAAACCCCAGCTCCACCTGCTACTCTCTGGCTTCAGTACAACTGATAGCTGCTATCTTTGCCAGGTCCACAACACAAATCCCGAATTCACAGTTGACTCCAATGCTGTGGCAGTCAGCACTCATCTGCCTTTTTGATGCATTAGCCCTTTTGGTCTCCTCCCTTCTTCTTGTTGAGTTTCATAGATAGATAGATAGATAGATAGATAGATAGATAGATAGATAGATAGATAGATAGATAGATAGATAGAGATAGATAGATTCATTGTCACCATGACGGTTTAAGTGATTTTTTCTTTTAGCATCATGTCTTATCTACATCAAAAAACAATGGTAAATGCCCTTCTAGCTAAGCCATACTTTGAGTCCTTTTTATTCTACACCCCCCTCAAAATAAAATCTGTCTTTTATTTAACCCCTTGTATCCACAGGGGGAAAAGGGAAAGAAAGGCAAAAAAGGGCCTAAAGGGGAGAAAGGAGAACAGGGCGCTCCTGGATTAGATGCACCCTGCCCGTTGGTATGTCTAACTCATGCAACCGTCTCGAGATGTCTTATGTGAGGGGTGAGATGGGAGAGGAGCAGGCCGGAGGGACCAGTAACAGCAGGTTCCCATGAGGGTAGTTTAACACGAGCCTTCACACAGGCACTCAGAAGTATGTGCTCAGGCCACACTGGTGTGCTTCACATCTTGTTGCCGGCCACTCAGCTCTACCCGATTTCTAAACTCTGAAGCAGTGCTGGCCTAACCATAGGATGTAAGGAGGAGCCGGTAATATCCCATAACCCTCCGAAGAGGAGGTCACGACCTCCCGACAAGTCCTCATCACCATAATGTGAAAACTTCTCTGCACATTACTGTCCCTTCTGAACTGCTCCTCTCCCAGTCTTTTCTTCTAGTTGTTTCTTTAGCAGATTTTTGCTTTCAATGAATTCTTGGATTAGTAACGTTGTTGAGTTAATCTTTACAAACAGGGATTCCGTGGCGTTAAGGGGGAAAAGGGGGAGCCAGGCCAGCCTGGCCTGGATGGGCTGGATGCTCCTTGCCAATTGGTACAGTATTTCTCTTTCCTACCATCCTGCATGCCATTCCTTTGTTTATTATGTATTCGTCTGTATCAGTGTAAAGCACTTCTTTCTGGAGCAAGCTTTACATGATAAACATACTACATGCATGAGCAAGCTCCTCCCCAGGCTCTGCAGAGGGGAGAGAGCAAGCATGTTATCAACAAATGCAAATTAATCTTCTAACATTGTTCTCACTACTGACGTGTCCATCTTTATGCTCTTTGGAATATTAATTTACCCAATGAATATTCAGGAATTATTTGTTAGTTAGATAAAAACATATGATGCTAAGGCACTGCTAGGCCAGAACTTTGGGCTTTTACCCTGCTTATTTTTTTCCTTTCCTCTAAAAAAAATAAAGGTATTTTTGTCTCTCCCATTATTGTTTTTTTTAAGCCATAAATAAGGCCAATCCTACATAATTACACTTCTGTGGTCATTAACCAATTGGAAGCAACATTAAGAGACCATGGGAAAGAAAACCGAATTGCCCCGCGCATCTCAAGATGATAAGTGTCTGCAGCCCAAACCTTCTTCCTTGTCACGTAACCTTTCCACATAATGGTCTCTCCTTTTAAAACTTACTCTCCTAAAGTAGATGGAACTCCCTCTTCCATTTGGCATGAACTCAAAATCCTCCTTATACTAAAATCTAAAATTCTACTGGTTGATCCTTTTCCTTGTACCAATCTGGCATTACCAATTTCTCCCAAATATTTATAAAGATAGATTTTTTTTTTTTTACAATTAAAAAGGTAGCGTGATTATACTTTGTGGAGTATAAAGAAAGCTTTTTATCATGTTTCACTTGGTCTGCATGGCCTTACACATGATTCTTTGGTTATAAGCATGATTCTTTAAAGGCAAATGAATATTTATTTTGTGAGTCTTTTAAAAGACTGTGTTTATAGAAAAATATTATCCAGTCAATTGTTATATTTAGAAAATATTAATGTGGAGTACTCTGTCCTTTGTTTGCTCGGTGTTGATCAGCCGCATTTCATGAACCTCTTCATTGGAGGAAAGCGCATGCCTTCGACTGTGTCATGTCTTCCAACCTCATTTGTATCTGAAGATGCTTACACCATAAAATATACTTTGCAGTCTTTAGCAACCTTCATTCGGAATGATAACCAACTTCCGAGGATTTGACCAGAAGCCCTGTCAAACACTATGAATGACATTTACTGTAACACGTAGCTAGACTGCCCATGCTTCAAATGCGTATATTTCGCAGTATCTACTTACAGTACGGGAAAGTGGAAAACACCGTCTTATGGAAAGCTATGAACTTCAGATAGAAATGGCTTGCCATTGATCCCCCTTATCACAAACCATGGTCCATAGTTACCACAAGGAAGTGATCCTCTGATTCACTCAGCACAGACAAGCATGCGCTGTTTTAGTGATGTTAAGGGAGCCATGCAGATGTGTTATCTAAAGATGCAACTGTGAGCAGAACACTGGCAGCTGTGCTTTTTACCTCTCGTTTTCAAAATTAGACATGGAATTTTCTGTGTTCACGTATTTTCTAGATGTGTGCTCAGTCTGGGAGACATTTGAATTAGCTTCACTTTAACTGATAGTAGATAAAGTGCTGTGAGGCACTAGTTAGTATAAGAGGCCTATGATTGAAGCCACCTAATAGAAGTAATTTCTGAAGTCTGTGAGCATGTGAACTTGGCATCTGATTACTTATGACAAGCCTGAGAAATTCTTTTTCTTCTCTTTAAAACCAGGGACCTGATGGATTACCCATGCCTGGCTGCTGGCAAAAGGTAGGTAGGCCTTATAGATTTTTTTTTTTTTTTTTGCGGGGTGTGGGGAGGCTTTCAAAGCAAAAGATGCCAGCACTGGGCCATCTTTAGATAGATGTGTTTGGTATTGATTTCTAATCAAACCAATGAGGAAAAAGAGTTCTTGACAAATATTGTAATCTGGAACCTCAAGTTCTTTATTTGTGGTGGAAAGGGGCAATATATCTGAGTAATATTGTTTGGCTCTCTCTAAATGAACTATTTCTGCCTACTGTCTAAAATGATTTTTTTAATTCTGATTTTTCACTGTATATCAAGTTGCATTGACAAATCTGCTGATATATGGTAGAACCCTGTCAATATTAGTCACACAACTGAGAAAGCAGAAAATATAAACACAACATTTTTCAGTGCTATCTTGATTTATTAGTAGTGACTGCTTAAGTGTATGCTGTCAGTTTGTTTCATCCTCACAGGATAGCTGCCTGCAATCTCTGGACGTATTCAGTAAAGATGGCACCTACCTAGAAAACCTTCTGTGCACAGAGGCTATATGTTAAGTCCTATCATACAAGGGTGTTGTTTCAGTTAATTCATGCAGTAGCTTACAGATGAGTCATAGAAATTTGGAAAAGTGAAGAAACTTGCAAAAGCAGCAAGCTGGTGGGTAACAGGACTAGGAAGGAGAAATGGCAGGAAGTCCTGGTAGCATTTCAAGCAGGCAGGCAGAGTTCTGTGCATTCTGCTCCGCCCAGGGAATGCTGATGTTTTATCCAGTCAAACCAATGCACAGATTACCAGAAGGCAAAGAAATGCCTAGAAATAACAATATGATAAGGGAAGAATCCAAGCTGCTTTGAAAGTTTTGAAATTTTATCTCCAATACTTTGTAGCTTATCCAGTGATTGTAAACAGCCATACTACATTGGCGAAATTAGAACCAACTATTTAAGAGTGTGGAAACCTGAGGAGACCTTGGGTTCTTGGTTGCTTAAGTCAGCAACTCAACCATCAGGAAATCTTAATACAACCCACTTTCTCAATTAGCTTCACATACTTAGCCAGGGACAGAAAAGCCTTCTCTAATGACAGCATCATTTACTTACTAGCTTCCCATGCTCCCCGTTAGGCCTATCAGATAATGGTTGCATCTGAGGTCAAGAGAGTCTGCAAATATAGACCATCATCAGATTCATCCCACCTGGTAAAACTATCCTCTTGCCAGCTTAAGTGCCATTTGGAGATGTCATAACACCATCTCCTGCTGGGATGGCCATTTGCTTTCTAACTCTTCCCCTGTAATTCAATAAGATGGTGAGGTGTGTTTTTTTTTTAAGCTAGTCATTAGCACACTGCACCTAGAGGTACAAACAGTTCATTTCCCCTACTCTGTGACACCACTCAGAACCTAGAGTCGCCATCGATCTGTGGCACTTCTAAATCATTTTCCTTTTCATAAAATTATAAATGCTATGGCAACAGGTAAAAGGCTTTTCATCATGTTAGCTCCTGAAAAGGAAAACCTGGTAGTAATATGAATAGTGTGATAGAATCAGAAACTGTCCTTAGAAAATGTTCAGCTTTGTCTGAAATAGATACTATATTCTACATAAGATTAAGAATCTTGTGAATTTAGCCTCTTCCACAAAGAAGAATAACTCAGTGATGAAATTTTGGTATTGCTTAGCACCTCCACACAGCACATACAAACTTCAGTCGTTATCTTCCCTCCCCCAATATAAATGAAACAGAAAAAAAAAAAAAATGTTCTCAGATTTCTTAGATGGCCAATGTAGATATCTCAAATATTCAAGGAATTTTTAACTGATATGTTATAAACAAAGCTAGTAGATGGCTTCTGGTTAGTCCTGTTTTATTTAGGCTATCACTGTAGACACTTTTGTGGAATTTTAATGTTGTATTGACATATATTAGTTATACATGATGGGTCCATTATGACATTGCCATACGTATATATAATATAGTTTGATCATATTCACCCACTCATTACCTTCTCTTGTTTCTCCCTTACTCCCACAGATCTCCTTTCCAATAATCCCCCTGCTATTTTGATGGTCTAATGAATTTCATTAGGTTGCTTAGAGAAGCATGGATACAGGATTGTTCACAGGAATATAGGCATGCTAACAGTGGCTAGACTGAAAAAAATTGTCTATCCATCAACCATTAACTCTGTGATGGATAGTGAAGGTTCAACCTTGATTGGTTGGTTGGTTTGGTTTGGTTTGGTTGGTTTGGTTGGTTTGGTTTTATTGGGTTTGGTTTAGTTTGGTTTTTCTTTCCAAGATAGGGTTTCTTTGGGTATCCCTGTCTGTCCTGGAGCTAGCTTTGTAGACAAGGTTGGCCTCAAACTCACAGGAATGTGATCCACCTGCCTCTGCCTGCCACACGCTGGAATCAAAGGCATGAACCACTACCCAGCTGACAGGTTCGTTCTTACACACAAAAGTAAAGTGTTATTAGAGAGAGCATCAAAAGGGGATTGTGGACTGGTTGCCTGTGGAGGGCGGGCTAGGAGACATTCATTCTCTTAATCTCCCCTGCATTGTACTCTTCTCGTTGATTTTTCTTTGAGTAAAACTAAAGGAAGCCACTAGACATGTCAGTGCCTTTTGTCTAGGTACACAGAAGGCAGGCAAAGATCTGGGGGTTTGAAGCTAGCCAAGGCTGCACAGTGAAACACAGTCTCAAAAAACAAACAAACAAACAAATAAGCAAATACTAAAGAAATCTCTTAAGACCCACTTTGTAAACTAATAGCACAATGGAAACTCTTCTCAAGCTCAGCTCATGGCAGTTCAGGGAAAGACAGGGCTCTTCAAGTGGGGAATTTGTTTTTATCACCGTTAAACTGTCACATCTACAGAACTGATAACAAGCAGGTTCACCTTATCTGCCAGCTCAAAGGGCAAGGCTAGCCAAAGGAAAAAGGAACCACAATCTGGAAATGCAAATGCATTACACGCAGGAATGTGTTGGTCAATAGACCCTTTGGCCTTTAGGTTGTTATGATGCCCAGAGACATCGTGTGTGGTAATGAGAGCACACCTGTAACAAATCACGGCTTTCTGCTTTCCCAGAACAGTGACTAAGACAATCAAGTATCATAAAGCTCTTAGTTGACAATGGAAAAATGTGGATTGGAACCAAGATGAGAATTATCGTTAAAATGGAGCTTTTTAAAAGTTTGAAACATCAAATGATCAAATGAGTCTGCTATCTTAAAAAAAAAAAAATACTACAAGGTTCTTCCATTGTTTGTAAAATAAATGCTAATTTGAAATTGTTAAAAAAAAGAACTACTAACTCCACGTGTGTCTTTTTTGTTGTCTGTTTTTCTGCAGTGATGAATCTAACCTTCCAAGCATGAAGTTGTGTATATAATGGTCCACCTTTTATATTTATAATTGAAAAACTGAAATGCAGATTTTGCAAGCGTGGAATCTGCCCGCTTGACACTGCTTCTCCCCGTTCCCAGTAGTCCAGGTGTCCATCTTTCCTCACATCTGAAATGAGGCAGCTCACAGAAGTGGGTGCCTGCAGGAACTATAGATCAGTGTCTCTATTTTATGTGAACGTATGTATTTATACGGACATCAGTGATAGAGAACAATTGATTGCTCTTGCTGTTTTCTTACCTGCGGCTTGTTAATTGCATGGACAGAAAAGTGCCATGAAATAGTTTACATGAAACTGTGACCAAATACGGACTCAAAGCTATGAACGTATAGCACACACATGCCCTAGCTGCATTCACTCATGCCCGCACCACCCCCTGAAACTGACTAAAAACAGCATGACCTTGTGCCAAACCTGCTTGTGCCAACGCAGATGCTTGCATGCTGCCTCGTAAGTTCTTTGACTACATCTGAGCTTTTATTCCTTTCTGTCATCTCAAGGGGGTTACACCGTGGCTTATTGCCAAAAAGAGATAAGTTGATGGCGAGCACACACACAGTTGGTCTTACATTTTGAGGGAGTTGCAGTCCCAACTGCAGATCCACAGCTCCTAATGTTGTGGGCTCCTGTGACCACCTTGGCTGAAATACCAAAGGGTAGAGCTGATTGCTGCCACTGGTTTTCCTCGGGCTGCGCTTGGTGGTGAAGACGCAGGAAGAGGACCGGTTCAGCATCCTGCATTGTCTTTCACGTGACCGAGTTGGAAGGAGATATTCGCGATCAGCCAGCAAAGCAGAAATTGTTTTTCTAGATGAACTGACTTCCGGCTGGTGTTGATGTGGGTGCTTTGGGGAAATGTCCAAGGTATGCGGCAGAGTTTTGAGGACAGCAGAGCCTTGGAACGGAAGCCCCCGCTTGTGCAGATTGAAAGGCATGGACATCACGTCAGAGCTCAGGCTGCTGAAGAGAGAAGGGGTCCACGGTAAAAGATCTGCCACAAAATACAGGGGAGCTCTTAGGACTTTCCCAAAGGTGGTTGGAAGCGTCTCTTCCTTCCCTCCTTCCCAGGTTGACCCATACCAAACGTTTTTCTACAAGTTCTAGGGGAAAAAAAATATAGTTTCCTTTTTTCTTCCTCATACTTTTTTCTTTTCTTAGTCCAGGAACAGAAAATATTTGCTTCAGTTTGGGTCCCATAGGCTTTTAAATAATATTTATAGAAAAGTTTTCAAATCATAATTTGAATCCAACAGTGAAAATAACCTTTAAGTATCTCTTTTTGTTGTTGTTGTTTGTTTGTTTGAGATAATTGAAGAGATTATAAGGAGACTACATTTTTTACTTAATCATTGTAAAGTAAGAAGGTTAAGTATTTTTCACTACTTTTTGATTTACATTGACAAATAACCTGTCAATTACTGTAAATTTACATTTACAATAACCTGTCAGTTATTGTAAAGTCAAGATTTTATCGCATTTGATAGCATGAACTTGCTTCTTCTCAGTTTTTTCCTATATTGAAATGTATTTCTCATGTTTTGCTTTTACCTTTCTAAAGTGTTCGCCTTATACACAGACCAAATCTGAGATCTCAGAAAGCCCTGAAATATAGTTCCCATAAAATGAGATTTGTTTTTACTGACTTGCTCACAGCTCACCTGCACAGACTTAAGCTGGGCATTTCTTTGCCCAGTGCAAAGTTTGTGGCATGTTTTGAAATGTTTTATTCTAAGTGAAAAGGTTGCCTCTGAGAAATACCATCAGTGGGAAGAGCTATCCTGGCAGCCCATTAGAGAATTTCACTTCCCTCAGTGATTAAATGCCATTTTCATGGAAACATTTCCAGTTTTGTGCTTGGATTTTCACCAGAGGGGAAATTAATTTATGCTTAGGATAACAGCAATGAAGATACAATTTCAAAACAGACCTTAAGATGTCTTTTGAATCTTATAACCAAATGTTCAGTCATGCAAAATGGTGTCATCTTTTTCCTTTATATCATTTCTGAGATTAGAATTTAATATTTCTAATAACATTCCAATTTCCTAAGCCAATTTAGCATCTTTTTTTATGGAGAGTATTTTCTAACAATGTCTTGTATGGTATAGTTAGGGTAAGGTATTTCTCAATATATGAAACAATTCCTCTTAAATCATTTGGGGGACAAAAATGAGCCCAAGATTACACATTATCTTCAGGAAAGAAAAACAGAGCAACTATAGAGTCTTGGAGACAATCTGGTGACTACATTTCCTCCTATCCTTTCTGTTTCTTCACTAGAAAGAGCTATTGAGAGGGATCCTTATTTAAAACTTACAGAGATTCAAATGAGACTAGCTAAACAGAAAAAAGAAGCATTAAAGCATTGGACATGCCCCTGTAACGATATTGCATAGACTGTGTGTACACTGGGATTTTGCTCATAAGACACATTTAAAGAAACATACAAACTTCTACTTCATATACTTTCTTGGAATGAACAATGGGACGACGCTAGACTGTGTGCTCAGTGGATCGCTAAGCTAACCACCATGAGTTAATGTTAAACTTTGGGCTACTAAAACACCTTTAATCATCCCATTTTGTCATCAAACTGAGCAATTTCCAAATGAATCAATAGTGGATTGTCATTGTTGATACATAGGTTTATAGATAGCATTCTTTTTCTCATAAAGACTTCTTTAGGAGAACTGAGAAAAAAGGTATGAAACACCGATTGGAAATAGGTCAAGGTCATGTTTTACTTCAGAGACAACCACCCTCACTGAAGAATGCCACTGTTGTGTTTTCCATTCATGTTGTTGGTGCTGATAAATTTCCTTCCTTTTTATCTTTATGGACAGCAGACCTCTATTGTGAGTAATTTCATTTCTGTGTTTAATGGCATTCCTAAGCTGTTAGTGCGTGATCTCATTTTTGAAGTTCATGAATTTGTTGTAAATATAGTTCAGTGAGCAGCCTTTCCTAATATAAAACAGCCTTCCATGGCTCCCCTTATTCTGTACTCATACACCAAATGCCTTTATCAGTTTCCATTTATCTCCTTTTTTTTTTTTTTTTTTTTTTTTTTGTTCACTCACCTTTCAGCTTTCTTTCATACTCTAAGTCTGACAGAGCCAGTGTTAGAGAAGTCTGAATATGACTCATTGAGTACCTGGAACATAAGCATACCTGAATCACTTTCCTAGCTTTCCTTTTCCATTATCAAATGCAGCCTTGGAGGGTTTTTCTTTATCCTGTTATTTTATGGAGAACATTAGAATGTCTCTCATTCCTGCCAAGAGAAAGTTGTTGGTTTTGGACCTACACTCTGTGCATACGATGTTAGTGGGGATATATTACGTGTACTTTCTGTATATATCTGTTTGCTTCAGAAAAGGTCAGATCACCATTCTGTACCCATGGGGAAATCATCATCAGTATCTTACATTCTTGGCAAGTAGGAAGTATGCCTAAAGTATTTCCAAGTATGCTTTTAAAGTATTGCTAGTAAAGCATAACACATAACATTTTTAATCTCCTTCCCCTCCCCGCAATATCCATCTGATGGTAGTTCAGCATCTTCTCATAATGGAGTCATAAGAAGCTTGGAGGCTGATGTTTGAAATCTTGATTTTCTTCCTTTCTTGACATTCAAATTATTTTAACATTTGACGCTACCAGAGCATAGAATTTAATAATTTTTACCAAAAGAAAATGTCCTACTATGTTGTAAAGTTCATGGGAGTCTTACCATTCCAAAAGTATTGAGTATGGTCAGATCTGAAGCTGGTGATTGACAGGTCTGACCAGTCACAATTCTGCCAAGCTGCATTAGGATCTAAAGGCCTCCTGTTGCTCCTTCTGTTTTCTTAACACATCTTCTCATTCATCTGTTTTGGCTCCATGTTGTATGCCCAGAGACACGCCTCTCACTTGGATTGCTGGGGAATTCATTTAAGGTTTTTGTTCCTTCTCCACTAATAAACATTTAAATGGCATTTTCTTTCCCTAAAATACATGTATAAACTGCTTACTCTGCTCATTGGCAGAATGATTTGAAGACAGGAAGATGGACCTTGTTATGCTTGATTTCTTGACAACAAGGAAAATACCAACACTTCTCAAAATAAGTTGATGTTCTGACATATTAGTATTAATATTAATGAGTCTGATTCACAAAGGAATGTCTCCCATATTGTTGACATTTGGGTGGATATTCTTTAGTGCTGTAAATGTTTCATTAAGCTGGACATTTTTAAAAGATGTATGTATCTGATTTATCTTTTGGAAATATTATATTTTTATTTGTATTTTTTACATTTTAAAGTTCATCTCTATGTGCAGCTATTTTTATATTGCCAAAAAGTCACATAAATACATAGTAAGAGAGAAATGGTAAAAAATGGCAAGCATAACTTGTGGTTTGTTTTTTTTTTAATGTATCATGGGCCAGTCTCATGTACTTGGTTATTCTAAGAATGTGTTGTATCTTTTCACTGTACATATGGCACAAACCTGATTATCGCTGTAGTGTAAATATTTAAAAGATTGATTTTCCCCATCTGATTTCTTACTTCAATTGTAATGTTTCCAATTTGTCATTACCAAATCAAAGGCCTGTGAAGGTTTTGATTTGCAATTTGAAAATAATTGCTCTGAGTTTATTTTCTAGTTTCTTTTTATTTACTTTTAAAACTTGTTTTCAGGGTTCCTAGTTTGTGAGAAGTTGATCTTCGGAATTATTTTTACACTATTTATGACTTATTTTCATAATGTAAAAAGTGTGTAATTATTACAGTATTAACCCAAACAATGATAATGAATTGTATTGTAATAAAGTTTTAATGACATACTTGAGAACTCTATCCTATTTTCTTTCATTTCTGAACAGTTGAGAAAAAGTCTTATTCTGCTTTTCTTCAATATTGTAACCCCACCATTCATATCACACCATAGCGTGATGTGTTTTGTTTTGTTTTGTTTTGTTTTATTTTGTTTTGTTTTAATGTTTTCTGGGTCATGCATT